CACTTCCCATTCATTCATTTATTAATGAAAGTATCTGTTGAGTGTCCATCTTTTGTCAGGCATTGGCTAGTTGTTGGGTATACAATGGTGAGTAAAATAAAATTAAAGAATTATGTGACATAAATGATAAAATAGGGAGAATAAATTAAAATTTAAGATCCTGCTTAATAGGATTTTAGAAGTAAGTAGATATACCTGAGGGAAACATGATTGCACCAAAATCAAATCAAAGATACATGAACAATAAAACAATGAATGGGTCAAAAATTAACATTAAATGATGCCTATAATATCTACAGGAACAAAAAAGGCTTTTTGTTTGCATATGCCTAATACGGTTTGCACACACTTAGAAGGAAATCTACTAGCATTGGGATTATTGTCAAGGAAATAGAGCAGAGTTGTCAAATAACTACTCATATTTTATTGACTTGGTAATTTAAGGAAGTGATGAAAGTACAAACCTAATGTGGCCAGGAAGGTCAGCAGCACTAATCTTACCACAGGGGATCAAATGAGGAAACAAAGGAGAAGGGTTTGTTTTAATTGATGTTAACATGTAAATTTAATATTAAAATGTAAATTTTATCATGTATATTTGAAAACCACCCTTTAAGCTTACAGGTTTTTTTCATTGACCTAATTGCCATTCATGTAAATAAATTTGTATTGGCAGATTCACATTGTTTCACTTCCTCTTCTGACTGTTTTCCCTGTAAGGATTGTTCTTAGAATGAGGTGGCATTTATTACTTTATAATTGCATGTGAATTGAATTGGAATTATTCACTGTGGCTGTCAGGGTGTTATGTGTGTTGGGGGTTGGGGGGCAGAGAAGGTTGGGCCTGTTCTCATGAAGCCCACAGTATTAATTGATGAGATAGATATTTAAACAATAATTACACAAATAATGTAGAATTATAACCATGTTAAAGGCAATGAAGGATGACTACATGAACTCTGAAGGTTTATAATGAGCATTATTAAAGCTATGATGCCTGAGTTGAGATTTGAAGGATTAAGAGTTTATTAAATGGAGGATAGAGCATTTCAGGCTGAGCAACCAGAAAGTGCAATGTCTGGAAAGGAGCACGTTAAGAACTGAAAGAAAGCCTGTAAGGCTAGTTTGCAGGTAAGACAATAGGGGTGGTATAATATGAAGCAAAGATAAATAGGGACAGGACCATAAAGGACCTTATAAACCATGATAAGAATTTTGTCTTTAGAACAATAGGAAGTCATTGCCATTGAAGTGTTTTAAGGTGTGTGTGTGTGTGTGTGTGTGTGTGTGTGTGTGCGTGCTAGAGAAAGAGAGAGAGAGACAGACAGACAGACAGATAGACACAGAAAAAGAGAGAGTAATATATTTGCATGTAAGGATCACTCCATCAAAGGATGGATGAAGAATGGACTAGAGGGCCCGAGTAGATATGCAGCAAAACTAGTCCAGAAGCTATTATAATAATCAAGGTGAGAGATTGATGGTAATCTAGACTAAAATGGTGGCAATTGAGATGGAGAGAAATGGATGGATTTGAAACATATTTAAGAGGTAAAATTGGTAGGGCTTGTGATAGATATGGGGGGTGATATGAGAGGAAGACTCAAGGATGATGCCTCGATTCATGGCATGTACAAATGGATACTCTTTGCATTTATGAAAAGAGATAAGTGCAGGGAAAAACATTAAGTTGTGTTTTGGCTTATTATGTAGGCAATTAAGATATTTGCAACTGGAACTCAGAGGATAGATATCACAGAAAGTTTCTCTTATTTTTTTTATTTCCCAGTATTTAAATCCTCTTATGTTTGGAGAGGTTTTTACCTTCAGTCTGAGGGAAACAAGAGCTGAAGCATGTGACCTAGGCTTCTCCAAGTCAAATATACCCATGCCAAATTTTGAATTAGGAGTAAGTGACACAAAGAAGTGTGCCCTGGGAAGAATTCCCTCTGGCAGTGGTGGCAGTTGAAATAAGATCAAGTTTGTAGGGCAGTGTTAGTAGAAGTAACAGAAGCATCTTGTGCTGGTGGTAGTGGTGTGAACTGCCATCCTTAGTGCTTGTTTGTGGTTGTGTTTTCTTGACCTCCAGGTCTGTGGTATGAGTTTGGGCATTGCTCCTTTGCTAGGTTGTCTCTGAGCCTGAATCCCCTATTCTGGGGATTTTGTGATAGGCAGTATCATTTGACCAAATTCTGTTTTTGCTTGAATCAGCCAGAATCATCTTCAGTTGTTTGCCACTAAGGATTTGGATCGATACTACAGGCCTGGGCTAGAGATACATATTTGTGAATCATCTGTATAGTGGTTGTGGTGGAAGCTGTGTACAGGGATGAATGACTTAAATATAGAGTACAGAATGAGTAACGGGCTAGGATTGAACCCAAGGCATTTATAACATTTAATGATTAAGTAGAAGAGGATGAGTCTGGAAGACGAGATAAATTATTGGAAATAGTAGAAAAATCAGGTAAATATTGTATCTTAGAAGCCAAGATGTTGGTGGTTTAAAAAAATCTCTACACTCAACATAGGGCTCAAACTCATGACCCCGAGATTAAGAGTTGCGTGCTGTACTGACTGAGCCAATCATGCACCCCAAGATGTTGAAGTTAAAGGTTCTCACTTTACATTTGAGGAAATTAATCTTGGTCTAGAAACTTACCAGAAATTTTGACTTAACAAATGATAGAACCAGAAGTTGAATCCATATCTGCCTGCCTACAAAAATCATTTATAGAGTTGATTGGATATATATGAGGGATATATGAAAGAAAAAAAATCAACAAGACTGTGTGAATATAAGAGATGAAGGGAATAATGAGTTGGTATAACATACCAACTTTCCATGTCTTGATTTTGGGGAGCATTTCTGTGCTACTGAGACAGGGGTGTTAGAGGCAAAGGAATAGATGACTTTGGATTTGGATCAGATTGAACAAGACTGATGGAAAAGCATGTAAATATAAATATTTATATAACTCTCAGATAATAGGATACGACTGGAAATATAGATTTGGGAGTTTTAAGCATAGAAGTGATAACTAAAGACGTCAGAATGAATGATCTAAAGAAAAGAATATAGAGAAGGGTAGAGTTAAAGACAAGGCTTTGATAAAAGTCCATAGTTGGGTAGTGATGGTGAAAGGGAAAGAAGAAGCCAAAAATCAGAAATGCAGATAGGAGAGGTAGAGAACTATAAGAGGGTAGTGTCTTAGAAGTTGGGGTTGCAGAGAATTTTAATAGGACCAAATATAGAAGAGAGTTAGAAAAAAAAAAGGCAGAAGGGATAAGACTGAGAAAAGACCATTAGATTTGGAATAGAAAGATTTTATTGGTTATCTGAGAAACAGTTAAATGTGATGGAGATACCTGTTGAGTTTAAAGTCAATGGGGAAAGGAATGGAAAGCAATAGTAAATAGCAGACATGTTTTATGTTGGATAGATTTAGCAGTAAAAGGAAGGAATGGAACATGGTACTATTATAGTGGGGAGTAGTTTTAAATAAAGAATTTCTTTAAATTATGATTTGCATGTTTGGAGCAAAGGGGCAGACACTAATAATAGACAGGGAGAGATTTTTATGGGAGTACTTTCCCGGAAAATGATTTGTTAGGATAAATGTTTACCCAAGTCAACAGTCTAATTTTTCAAATGGTGCTGTATATTTCATCGGGGGGAATAGAAGGAAGAATAAAATTTGTTATTTAAAACTCTCCAGTAGCTGGAACTTCTTCATCCTTATTGCTTTCCAGAAGGAATTTTTTGGAATGGGATCTGTGGTAGTGATTTTAGTAGAACTCCGTTGTATTTTTGTGAGAGTAATTAGGATATCCATAGATGCGACTTTAAGTGCAAATAAATTGATTTTTCAGGTATAAAGTGGTGTTTCTAGCTTTCCACAAATATTCATAAGAAAATCTGTTAAGTTGAACTGAATCAACCTTTTTGTCCTATGTCAGTTTCTTGACCGTCATAGCAAGCAAGACTAAATAACTGTAGGCTTCATGTTTATGCTTATGCCTTCCTAAAAAGGTAGTAAATAAATATATCATAAACAAGTGTAACAAGCTGCTAAATGTCTTACATCATCAATCTTACATTAGTTTTGATGGCTTACTATCATTAATACTAATGAGTAACATTACATCATAGTATAATAAAATCAGTTATGCACATATAATCTGAGGCATTTAACCAAAAAAATCTCTTAAAATTTCTTCTTCATTTTAATAATCTGTGAATTTAGGCTGTGGTGAATTGAGACAATTATTTAAAACATTGAGTATTAAAAACATCTTTACCAGAAATATATCAATAATTAAAGCAATTTGGGGCTTATTTGCTTAAATTAGTTTTACTCCACTTTTTCACTTCGGATGTGCTGACAGTCTAAGAGCATAAATGATCTAAAGACAGCATTTGGACAAAAATGTTCATTTTATTTGAAACTAAACAAATGAAAAAAAAAGAAACTAAACAAATGAGTCACTCAAAGTGTTTGTTGAATGAAAATTTATTTGAACTCTTATGCTTGCTTTTAAAGTTTTGAAAATGCTTAATGCAAAACTGCATTTTGATGATTGATTCCAGTGTTTTTTACTTTTACGTTACGATAATATCAATTTTATTGCTGTTTTCCAAAATACTTCCTAAAACTGTTATGTTACAAGAGGAATGGATAGTCTTCCTGACGCGTTCCCTGTTCTTTCAGGGTTTCTCCTGAATCCGGCAACACCTCCAGGGGGTCTGGGGTGCTGGGTGCTCGCCTCGCCCCAGGAAAAAGCGTGACGGCCGCAGCGCTGGTCTCGCGGGGAGTTCGATCTCGCTCTTCAGCGCGATCTGCGGCTCCGGTTCTCGGCTTCGCGGGGTCTCGCGGGGCTAGGTGGGGCCAAAGCGGGACTCCCGTCGGCCTTTCGGTGCTCGCGGGGTTCTACGTCGAGTACCCCCCGCGCTTGGGACCCAGAGTAGAGTGTGGGATCCGGAGAAGGAAGGGCGTGGACATTCGGGTCCCAGAGGGGACCTTGAGGTGTGCGGGAAAGGGAGCTGTGTGTGCGGCGGTTATTCCCTGGGCGGGCTGCTCTGGGGAATTCGGGGTTCTGGCAGGCCCTGTCCCGGGAACTCGACCAGAGGTAGCGTGGGTGGGAGGGTCCAGGGCGGCGTCAGGTGAAGGGAGGCTGGATGGCTGTGAGGGCGTTAGTTCCGAGCGAACCTCTCGCCTCAAAATGCTCGGGAGGAGTGGCTCACTTGAATCTGAATCTGCGGGTGACGAGTAATACGTCAAAAAATAACCCGCCTCAGGAGTTCCTTTGTAATGCGACTTGGCAGTCCGGTGAAACCCTCTGCTTTTTGGAGTTTGGGGGTAAATTCCTAAGTGTAAAATTGCACTCTTCAGGGTTTTACTTCGCTGTTTGTGAAGGACGTTGTTTAGCACTCTTGCTGCGCTTAGCTGTACACACGCCAAGAAAGGACATATTCGGAGATACTATTTATTTTCAAGGGCGTATCCTTGTGGGAAATCTTAGTGTCTGTGGACTCCAGAAGGTTCAGTGACTTATTGAGATGCCACGTATAAACAATTATGAAGGCTTCCCCCCCCACCCCCCACCCCCGCTCCCCAGGTATTTCAGTCATGCAGCTACATTCAGCGAGTATTAAGTGCCCATTACTGGGCTGAAGGTGTTTCTCCCCTCCCCAGTGCTTGCCTTCCCCCCAACCCCCTCCCGCGACATTTGTCTGTAATAATATCTGATTAGAAACGTTGCTACCCAATGAATATATGTTGTTTTGAATATGATTTCAGTTCCTTATAAATATTTTAGCGTTTTTTTAATGTAGGTTCCAAGATGAATGACAGCCTATTTGTCAGTTTGGACAGGCTTTTGCTAGAATTTGGTAGGTATAAAATAAAAATAAAGAATTGGGTAACTATTTGTATTATTATTTAACATTTTAAATAATAGCGACAAAGCGAAGTCACAAAAGAATTATTTATTTTAGTTTTCCAGTATGAGCAAGATATAAGTACTAAAGAAGATATGATTCAACGAATTAACAGTAAGTCATTTTGCATGATAAAAGTTATTTTAGTTTCAAATTTTTTATGGCCTGTAACAATGCAGTTGCCTTGTTTAGGCTGACTTATAGTTGGCATTATAACTTTTGTGCCATTTCTATCTGGTGACTAATGCTGAGCTATTTGCCTGAACCACAGATTTTCAATAATAAATTTCTGTATTCAGTACTTAATTATTCTGTGTTGAAGAATTTTGCTTTAAGTAGAAATAACCCCTGTGGCTCAGGTCATGATCTCGCAGTTGGTGAGTTCACCCCCACATCAGGCTCTGTGCTGACAACTCAGAGCCTGGAGCCTGCTTGGCATTCTGTGTCTCCCTCTCTCTCTGCCCCTCCCCTACTCATGCTCTGTCTCTCTGTCTCCCAAAAATAAAAATTAAGAAATAATCCCTTAATTAAGTATGGTTAAAATATGTTATTTTTCTCAGACAACACCAGTTATTTAAAACATTTGATTGAAATTTTTTTGGTTTTATTTTTAAATTTGTTCTTTTTTGTGGTTTCAAGTTTTTATTTATTTTTATTTTTTTTGTTTGAGAGAGAGAGAGCAAGTGCAAGTGGTGGAGAATGGCAGAGGGAGAGAGAGAGAATTTTAAGCACAGGGAGCCTGGTGCTGGGCTCCATCCCCACCTTGGGATCATGAGCTGAGCTGAAGTCCACAGTTGGACACTTAACCCACCGAGCCACTCAGGTGCCCCTCAAGCTTTTATTTAAATTTCAGTTAGTTAACATATAGTGTAGTATTAATTTCAGGTGTAGGATTTAGTGATTCATCACTTAGATACAACACCCAGTGCTCATCACAAGTGCTGCCCTCCTGAATGCCCATCACCCATTTAACCCATCCCCCTGCCTCCTTCCCTTCTGCCATCCTCAGTGTTAAGGAGGCATATAGTTAAGAGTCTGTCTTATGGTTTGCCCCTCTCTCTTATTTTCCCTGTGTTCATTTGTTTTGTTTCTTAATTTCCACATATGAGTGAAATCCCATGGTATTTGTCTTTCTCTGACTCATTTATTTTGTTCAGCATAGTATCTCTAGCTTCACACGTGTTATTGCAAATGGCAAGATTTCATTGTTTTTTATGGCTGAATAATATCCCATTGTAAATATATGCCACATCTTTATCCGTTTATCAGTCGATGGACATTTGGGCTCTTTCCAGAATTTAACATTATTGATAGTGCTGCTGTAAACATTGATGTGCATGTACCTCCTTTGTATCAGTATTTGTGAATCATTTGGGTAAATACCTAGTAGTGCAATTGCTGGATTGTAGGGTAGTTCTGTTTTTAACTTTTTGAAGAACCTCCATACTGTTTTCCAGAGTGGCTGTACCAGTTTGCATACCCACCAGCAGTGCAGGAAGATATCCCTTTCTCCACGTCTTTGCCTATATCTTGTTTCCTGTGTTGTTAATGTCAGCTATTCTGAAAGGTGTGAGGTGATAGTTCATTGTGGTTTTGATTTGTATTTCCCTGATGATGAGTGATGTTGAGCATCTTTTCACGTGTCTTTTAGCCATCTGTATGTCTTCTTTGGAAAAATGTCTATTCATGTCTTCTGTCCAATTTTTAACTGGATTATTTGTTTTTTGGGTGTTGAGTGTTCTAAGTTCTTTATATATTTTGGATCATTTGAGTGAATTTTTAAAAATCTTTTTAGACATGACCAAAAGTCAGGGTTCAGGACTGATGGATGCCACATTTTCAGGAATAATTCTGAAAAATTATATTATGAGTGAAATGGCAAAGCAAATTACATAATGCAGTATTTTAAGATCCTACATAAAAGTTATCAAAAATAGAACCATTAATTTTTTGATTGTTCTGAAAAAGAATTTGGTTACCTTTCTGTGACAATAAAGAATACAGAGTATGAGTGTTAAGAATTTATTTTAACGTTTAAGAGATTATATTTTATCTGTATTTATTCACTAGTAACAAAGAAATAAGTGAGTTGAAGGTGCATTTAAGAATTAATTGACATGGAATCAGTGAAGAGAAACTTTATATTTGTCAAAACCAAAACAAGTTAATATCATATGTGACAAAATGTTTACACGAACTCATACAATGATAAGATGCCATTGATTCTAGATATCACTTAATCTAGCCCTCTTATGTTAAAGATGAGGGACAAGGATGTTTCTTTTTTTTTTTAAAGTTTTAGTTTAAATTCTAGTTAGTTAACATACACTGTAATATTAGTTTCAGATGTACTTCTCTTCATTCCAAACATAAATCCTTTGCTTCTGGATCTATGAGCAAGCCCGGTACTGGTTTTGTGCTTTTTAGTAGAGGGCCCTTTCCATCTCAAGGCTCACTTCCTCTCCATTCTCTGACTCTCTTCCTTTTAAGTAAGTTGCCATACCCCTTTTTCTTTTGTATTTGTTAATTTTGAATTTATGACTTCTACCTTAAGAAAATAAACATTTCTCATTTCCAGAATGCTTTGAAGATGTTAAAGAAAGCAAGGTGATTATTTGTAAGATACATGAAACTATAAATACGACAGATGAGGAAATTGGCCACTACTGTAAACATAGTAAAGAGATCAAAGACAACTGTAGTAAGTGAGTATTTAAAAGAAATGAACTTTCAGTAATTGTCACTGGATTCTTTATTCAAGGTTTCTGTTATTTATAACTTATAGTTTTTATAATTGAAGACACTGTTGCTTTAATGTAGTATTTTGTATTAACAAAATAATGAATCAGGTCTTAAATTGCTTTGCTACATGCTTCTGTAAATAGGGATTGTAGGAGGATCAAAAGAAAAATAGAAGCTCTAAGATCACTCAAATTCAGATCCAAATAGTCTGCAGAATTTTGAATAATATAGGCTTCTATTAGATACATTTTGAAATAATTTCAATTTTTGAATTTTTAAGATTTATTTTTATCTAGGAAAATCTAGCCTAAAATAAGTTGCTTTTCAAAGTAAAAGTACTTATTATCTTAAGAATTCTTTCACCATGGCTTCAGGTTCTGGATCCTAATGGTTAAATTTATTATAAGACACAAACATTTTGAATATATATATTTTTTTATTTATTTCTAGGAGAGAGAGAGAGACAGTGTGAGCAGGGGAGGGTCAGAGAGAGAGGGAGTCACAGACTGAAACAGGCTCCAGGCTCCGAGCTGGCAGTCAGCACAGAGCCCGACGCGGGGCTCGAACCCACGAACCGTGAGATCATGACCTAAGTGAAAGTCGGACGCTTAACCGACTAAGCCACCCAGGCGCCCCAAAGACACAAACATTTTGAAGCAAAGGCTTACTAATAGAACTTTATTGTAGATTACAAAAATAAAATGTGTCTGTTTTCTGTACTTTATGTAGACCATTGTCTTTGTATTAACTGCTGTATTTTAGGATCCTGTTTGTTTTAAAATATATTGTTATTCAAAATTTTTTTAATATTTTATTATTTCTCTCCCGTGCAGGGGAGGGGCAGAGGGAGATAGAGAGAGAAAATTGTAAGCAGGCTCCATGCCCAGTGCAGAGCCCAATGTGGGGCTTGATTCCATGATCATGATGAGATCATGACCTGGCTGAAATAAGGAATAAGGCACTTGACTAAGTCATCAGGCACCCTGTTATTCAAAATTTAAGTAAATCTTTTTTATTTTCCCCATTTATAAAAATAACACATCCCTAGTATAAAAATTCAAAAAGTATACAAATGTGTGGAATAAGTTATTCTCTGTCTGCAGTTCCCACATCAGCCCTGTCTTCTTCCTTAAAAGAAATAATTTTTAATGGTTCTGAGAACCTTTTCAGACATTTTTCAATAAAAATTCAGTCATTATTACATATACATATATATCTATGTCTATTTTTCTTTTTATAAAATGCAATCATACTGTACTTATTGTTTTAAAATTTAACAGCATGTTATATAAATAGTACTATACATGTAATGATTATGTATAGATTTCATTCTTTTTTTTCTTCTTAAGTAGTTTATTGTCAAGTTGGTTTCCATATAACACCCAGTGCTCATCCCAACAAGTGCCCTCCTCCATGCCTATCACCCCCCTTCCCTTTTCCCCACCCTCAATCAAACGGAACAATATCCGTATCATAGGAATTCCAGAAGAGGAAGATTCAACTGTTTTTTTGGATTCTATATTGTTTATTTCTGCCCTGATTTTTATTATTTATCTTCTTCTATTGGGTTTGGGGTGCTCTTGTTGCTCTCCTTCTAGTTCCTTTAGGTGTGCTGTTAGATTTTGTACTGTACTTCATACAAGCTTGATCTCTCTCTGAGTTCCAAGGACTGTTACTAGAGATCTTAATATCATGGTATACGTCTAATTCATGATTTCACCATAGTAAAGAGATTAAAATGTGGAATATGAATTCATTATAGTACTAGAAGAAATTTAAGTGACTATATAATCTCTGAGAGTAGAAGACCTTTGTAAGTGTGTCACCAAAAGCTGACAGTACAGAGAAAACAATAGCTAAATGTGACTACACACAAATGAAAATGAAAATGCACCAAAATGATATATAAGGGAAAAGAATTAGGTAGTAAAAGTGTCAAGTAAGGGTTATTTTAAAAAATGTAAAGTACTTGTGGAAACTAATAAGCAAAAGCAAGAACCCTGTTAGAAAAGTGGACAAGGAAAGTAAATAGGAATAGGTAAATACCAAAATGAAAAAAATATATGTCTAATAAAATGTGAAAAAATGCCCAATCTTTCTAGTAATCTGAGACATCCAAATTAAAGCAATAATAAAATGCTATATTTTGCCTTTAAGTTTTATAGAAATTTAAAGAAATGTAATATCCTGTTTTGGCCAGGGAATAAGAAAATCACTATAGTAATTTTTGCTGGTAAAAGCTTTAAAAATAAACATGACTTTTGTTGTACCTGAGTGGCTCAGTCGGTTAAGTGTCTGATTTTGGCTTAGGTCATGATCTTGTTCGTGATTTTTGAGTTTAAGCCCTGCATCAGATTTTGCATTGACTGTGCAGAGCCTGATTGGGATTCTGTCTCTCCTCGTCTCTCTCTGTCCCTCCTCAACTCTCTCTCTTTGACCTTAGAATTCCATTTTTGGGAATGTTTTCTAAAGAAATGATTAGAAATTCGGACAAATATTTAAGTAAAAATTCTACTTACAGTGGAAAAACTTAGATTAAGCAAAAATGGCCAACAATATGGGAATGGTTAGTTAAAGTTATTATGATGTATTTATTAAAACCTTTACAATGAATTCCTAGTGAGAAGGAAAATGTATATAATTAAAAGTAGGTGATAAAGGAGGTTATGCTGTTAATGAATATGATCTCAAAAATGTTAAATTATGTACTTATAAAATCTGGTAAAAGTTTATTAAAACAGTAGTAATAGTTATTTTATATTGAGAATATGGATGATAGTTATTTCCTTACATACTTCTTTGTGCTTCCAATGTGAGCTTTTTGAATCTGAAAAAATATTAAAAGATTAGAAAAAAGAGCTAGAAGAAATAGTTGAACAACATTTAGAATGGAAGCTGCCATGGTGTGTGCAGATTTTAGATTTTTCACATTGGCAGCATTTTTCAAGTCTTGTAATAAAACAAAAAATGTGTAAGATAGCTATTCATTTTATTCTTACTATCTGATTTTATAATTTATTTTGGCCTAGTTTATTTCTTTCTAGTTCAAGAGGGTATATCAATCTGAGTTTCTAAGTTTTGAAGGAAAAAAACTTCTCTTTATCCTTTATTCTAATTCTTTGAATCTTTACTCCAAAAGAATTTCTTAGCCAAGATCTGAGAAGCATGGTGAGAAGGAAAGCTTGATGTTGGAGTATTGCAGAGTATATTCTATGAATGCTGTATCAATACACAGTCCAACCATGTAACATTTGCTTCTACCTTAGTCATGGTTTCACAATGAGTTTTACATAAAAATTAATCGATACTTATATTTAAGTGTATGTATGATTGTCTGAGTGGTGGTAGTGGTGGTGGTGAGAGGTGAGAATATTTTCTTGCTATAAGTTTGTTTTCTTCAGGAAAAGATTCATTATCTTTAAATGGTTAAATTCATTTTTATTATCTCTTACAATTTGTTATTCTGAGATGCTAATTACAGTCTTTTTTTTCTATAGCTGGAAGCCAACATGTGATGTTTTTCATAAACATGAAGTCTATATGCAGGACCAATTTACTGTTTATCAAGAAGCTATTGAAAAAGACAAGTACAGTACATATATTAATTTAAGCTTATCAGTTCTATAATTTATTATTTTTAAGATACATGTAGAATAAATGTTACTTGAAAAATGCAAAAACTTTATACATTGAGAGAGGTTTTTTTTTTTTTAAGTAAATCGTGTGCTTTGGACTCTTTGGGTGCCATTGGAGGTCTGCCTATTTGTTATAAAGCTCTACCGAATCCTGGATATGTTTTTAGATATGCCCTAAGGTAGAAATAGTTTGTCAGTAGCAATTGTTACAGCAGAGTGCTTCAGTTAATGGTCTTTATAACTGAATTGTTATAGGTAAACATCTGGGGGAATACTTAGCTATAGGATTAGCTTATGAAAAATTTGGAGTATTGACTTTTGAAGGGGATTTTATTTATTTTTGTTTATTTTTAAGAGATTTTATTTTCCATCAACCTTATTTCCATTTTGTTTGCCTCTGTAGAAGAGCAGCTTAAGACCATTCAGTGGTTGTCCCTATCCATTCAGTGTCCTGAGCAGTGGGAGCTGCAGACTAGTCTTCAGTGGCAGGTGGAGCACTCCAGTCTTCAGTAGGGAACTGCTGGATAGGCACAGAGGGCACCTGCGCACCTTGAAGGGGATTTGATATGAGACTTCTCTTTTTCAGAAAGCTAATGTAGTGGGTTGTGTATTCTGATGGAGAAACCCCAGTATTTATGGGTTTATTTTATTCTGTATAAAATAACCTGGTCTTGAGTACTAAATGTAATTAGTGAATATAACAAAACAAGGTAAGAGACTTTGAACATATTATATAGCATCATAATTTCACTTACTTTTTCCAAAGGTCAATTTTTAAAAAATATTTTTTGTCAAGTTAGCTAACATACATTGTATATAGACGGCTCTTGGCTTCGGGAGTAGATATCCATGATTTATCACTTACATACAACACCCAGTACTCATCCCAACAAGTGCCCTCCTCAGTGCCCATTACCTATTTGCTCTTTCCCCCCGACCCTCATCAATACAATTCTTCATCAAAGATCAAGTTTAAAATACTCAAATTGGTGCAATATTTTGGCCTTTACAATCCTACTTCTTCATGTAACCTTTCTTGATTAAATTTTTTTTTAATATTTATTTATTTTTGAGACAGAGCATGAGCAGGGGAGGTGCAGAGAGAGAGGGAGATACAGAATCTAAAGCAGGCTTCAGGCCCTGAGCTGTCAGCACAGAGTCTGATGCGGGGCTCGAACCCACGAAGTCAGACACTTAATCCAACTGAGCCACCCACGCACCCCACCTTTCTTGATTTTTAATCCAGTGATTTTTATTTATTTATTTTTATTTTTAAAAATATATTTATTGTTAAATTGGCTAACATACAATGTGTCACTTAATTTTTTTAAAAAAATGTTTATTTTTGAGACAGAGCATGAGTGGGAGAGAGGCAAAGAAAGGGGACAGAGGATCCAAAGAAAGCTCTGCACTGACAGCAATGAGCCAGTGCTTCCAGGCTTGAACTCAGGAACCATGAGATCATGACCTAAGCTGCATTCAGATACTCTGAGCCATCCAGGCACCCTAATTTCACTTAATTTAAAAAGCTGAAGGGGCGCCTGGGTAGCTCAGTCAGTTAAGCGTCTGACTTCAGCTTAGGTCATGATTTCATGGTTCGTGGGTTCAAGCCCCACGTCGGGCTCTGTGCTGACAGCCAGCTCAGAGCCTAGAGCCTGTTTTGGATTCTGTGTCTCCCTCTCTCTCTGACCCTCCCATGCTCATGCTGTCTCTATCTCTCTCTCAGAAATAAATTAAACATTAAAAACTTTTTTTAAAATTGAAATGTTTTCATTTTTAATGTAATTGGACAAGGGCATCATTTTATTTTATCTTTTTTATACTTTTTAAAATTTATTTTTTTACTTCTTTTTCTTCTAGCTTTATTGAGGTATAACTGACTTATAACATTGTTTAAGTTTGATACGTGATTGCGTAATACATGTATGTATTTTAAAGTGTCTATCACAGTAAGGCTAGGTAGGTAGCACATCTGTCATCTCATATAAACAGTGTTTTTTTTTGTAGTAATAACATTTAAGATTCACTCTCTTAGCAATTTTTAAGGATTATAATACAGTATTGTTATATTTACCGTGCTGTATATTAAATCCCCAGAACATATTTACCTTATTACTGGAAGTTTGTATCCTTTGGGCAACATCTACTGGCAGCTATCATTCTATTCTATTTCTGTGATTTGGCTTTTTTTAGATTTTGTATATAAGTAAGTTCATATCATGTTTTTTTTTGTTTTTCTCCTAATCACTCAGCATAATACTCTCAAGGTCCATCATGGTGTCATAAATGGTAGCAGTTATTTTTTATGACTGAATAAAAAATTCCATTGCATATATATACCACATTAAAAAATTTTTTTAAAGGGTTGGAATTTTTTATTTTTAAACTCTGTGCCCAACATGGGGCTCCACGGCTGAATAATATTCCATTGCATATATATATATATCATATATATATCATATATGTACATATGATATGTATATGATATGTATGTATAACACATGTCATATATATATATATATCACTTCTTCATCCATTCATCTGTAGATAGACACTTGGATTCCTTGCGTATCTTGGCTATTGTAAATAATTCAGCTATAAACATAGGGGTTCATATGTAGTTTTGAATTAGTATTTTCATTTTTGGGGGCTAAATATCCTGTAGTGGAATTACTGCATCATATGGTATTTCTATTTTCTACCAAGTATATGGACTTGTATGGCTCCCACCAGGTCCCTGGGAGGCCTCCTGGCTAGTCACTGGATGGATCTGTGGGTAGTCAAGACTGGCCCTAAACTGGCCAGACGAGCTAGAACTGAGCCTTAGGGAGGTTTTAGGTTCCGCAACCAAGATTGAGGTCTGTAGTCCTGGATCTGAAGGGATAGAAGGGCTTGTCTTCTATCAGGTCCCTGGGTGGGCTTAACTTCTCTCTGACTGTAGTGGAAGGGGCTGGAGCCAAGTGTAGGACCCTTTTAGAATCTGTAGAGATCCATATAGGAATACCTATTTTTGGGTTCCAGGGCTAGCAGATCTGCTGGTGGCCTTTGGCTCTGTGAGATCTAGAACTAAGGATATGGTTCTTGAGGATCTCCTTGGGTACAGACAGAAGTGTCTCCCACTGAGAACTAGACCCTTAGTACTACTGACAAATTGTAGCTGTGAGGGGCTTGGAACCAAGCATAAGGCCCTTTCAGGATCTTTAGGGGCACAGACCAGGAGTGTCTCCTGCTGGATCCCTATGCCAGCAGGACTCTTTGATGACTGTGATTGAGATGGCCTCGAGCCCAGTTACAGGGCCCTTCTAGAGTCTGTAGTCTGAAGGAGTTTGGCAGGCTTACCTCCAGGGACTCCCAGACTGCAGCCATAGGGACTGGAGCTGGTTCATGGGCCACTTCAGGGTCCATAGCTGGGACCAGGGTATGTATGCTTATTTCCTGACACACGGCTGGTCATGACTCCTTCTGGGTCCTTTGGTGTATAGTGCTGGTAATAGACCCAAAGCCAAATGGGGCTGTAGCTGAGTTCTTAGGGGTACAGAACTGTTTCTGGGTCTGTAGTCAGGGCCACAGTGAGTTAGCCACCAGGATGTGAGCCTGCCTTCTCAAAATGGCTGTCCTTAGTCTTGGACTATACCAGGGTGTCACAGTTTTCTATCTGGATCACAAAGATCCCACAAATGCACTGTTGTCCATGGATGGATGCTAAATTATTGTTTTTGAGGGGGCGATACACATTAGGGATGTTCTATTCTGTCATCTTGCTGACATAACTCCAATTTTTATATTTTAATTAAAAACATACTAAATCTAGAGACTGCAGTACCCTTTATATTCAAAGATGGGTCTTAAGAGAAGATAGCGACCAAAGTAATAGATTTGACTTCACTGACATTTGAAATCATGGAAATAGAAAAGATTGCCGATGTATAAGGCGAAAGATTTATGTGATCTGAAGAGAAACCAGAGTGTAAGATTGCCCATGTAAATGAATAGAGCAAAAAGGAGAGAAAGCTAGAGTATACAATCATCCAAGGAATAGATAGAGTGTGGGATTAATGAAAGAGACTGTTACTTTTTCATTTTTAGACCCTGCATCTATCTAAAAAGGATTTGAGATAATTTGTATAATACCATAGTGTTAAAACTAAATATAAAAATTAAGCCAATAGAAATACAAGGATAATGTAAGAATATGAAGCCTTTGATTAGAATAGAAATTCACATTACATGGTCATGTACATGTGTTAAATATAGGTATAGATTAGGCTTTGGAATGCTTAGTAGTAGTCCAGGCATTGTGGAAGTGTGATCAGTTTGAGATTCAGAGTATTCATTTAAAAAACAGTTCAAGTGTTAAAGGTAAGCAGAGGTATTTCCTGGCAGTAAAATTTGAGAGAAATTTCTTGCCAAAGTTCTCATTAAAGGAGAGTTATGCATTGTGGTAGTCAGTATCTTCAGTGACCTCCCTAAGGTAAACACAATATATATTACTTCTTAGAACATCTCTCAATGCAAGTCATGGCTATAAAACATTATTAAAAATGCTTCTTTGAGGAGGTAGAGCAAAGCAGTTCAAAAGTATACCTAGCTGATAGTGTTTGTTGTAGATGACTAGGTAGCCAGAGTAGCCACTTTAATAGTGGAAACAGGTCTTTCTTTCTTAAACCAACCACATAGGTTGATTGAATTGAAGACTCAATACCAGATATCTATAAAAGGAAATGACTCCATTTGTTGGTATCATGGATACTGAAGGAAATAGAGGAACCAGCTTCTTGTTTCTCTTAATTTTCCATTCTAGACATTCATCAAGACTAGTATTGTTGTCAGCAGATGAGATAGTCAGGGCTCTTCTTGATTCATGACTTCGCTCTGCTGGTCTCTGCTAAAGTCCCTGTATGGAGTATATAAGAGTGGGCATGAATATACAACATAAATGGGGTAAATGTGGTATGCTAATCTCATCTGAAACTGGTCACTCCAATTCAGTTTTCTATAGGTATTTCCCTCTTCCCTGAGCCATTTTCCCAAGGAGTGAGGGATTAGAGATGCCTGGGTAGCTCAGTCAGTTAAACAACCGACTTCAGTTTAGGTCATGATCTTGTGGTTTGTGAGTTTAAGCCCTGCATTGGGCTCTGTGCTGATAGCTCAGAGCCTGGAGCCTGCTTTGGATTCTGTGTCTCCCTCTCTCTCTGCCCCTACCCCGCTCACACTCTGTCTCTGTTTCTCTCTCTCAAGAAAAAAAAAATAATAAACATAAAAAATAAAGAAAAAAACCAAAAAATTTTTTAAAAGGAAGTGAGGGATTAATTAACAAATAGGCATTTAGAGGAATAGGAGTTTGGGACTCAACTGCTTTATCTTGCTAAAGAGGACAGAGTTAGTATGTGTGTGTGTGTGTTTATATATATGTATATATATATTTTTTTTTATTTAGTTTCATTATTTTGATAGAGAACGAGTAAGGGAGGGGTAGAGAGAGAGCGGACAGAGGATCTGAAGTGGGCTTTGTGCTGACAGCAGAGAGTCTGCTCTGATGCGATGCTCAAACTCACAAACTTTGAGATCATGACCTGAGCCAAAGTCAGATGCTTAACCGACCGAGACACCCAGGTGCTCCCAGAATTTAGTATATTAAAAAATTAAAACAATCAGGCGATTCAGATCTGCTGACCAGTACAATGCTGTTATCCTTACTTTTTTTCCTCAGTATAGAAGCATTTATGAATACTGTTCTTTTCTTATCTGCTAAGATGAGTATAGTATCAGTATAGTATCTTTAAATAAATTTCACCCATATAGAATACCTTGATTTAGAAAATTTAGAAAATTTTGAGAAACATAGGACTATATATTTTTAGAAAATTTTCAATGAATATTATTTCTTGAAACTTGTTAAAAATTGGGTAAAAAGAGGATCAAAATAATATATTTCGTATAATGAACCTGGATTGAACATTTTCATTGTTGTAGATTAGGATTAGCAAACTTATTTTTTTAATAAAGGGCCAGATAGTAAATATTTTAGGCTTCGTAGGTTATACTTTCTGTTGATACTCAGCCTTACTGTTGTGATGCAGGAACAACTTTAAGTAATACAAAATGAATGATCGTGTTCTACTAAAATTTTATTTATGGACATTACAGATTGAATTTCATATGGTTTTAACGTGTCATGAAATACTATTATTTTGATTTTTCAGTAATTTTAAAATTCAGAAATTTTTCTTACCTCACAGGCCATACAAAAACAGGTGACAGGTTATTTTGGCCCATAGGTCATAGTAAATGACCCCTACTGTAGATCCAGCAAAAGTCAAATGAGAACGAAAAGTTAATATCCTTTTGCAAGAGTTAACTGACTCACTCAAGACTGGTGCCCACATAGATGACCACTCACTTCTACCTGATTTAGACTGGTGGAGTTCCTCCAAACAGTGTTGAAATTTTCTTCATTAAAGCAGTTAATGGAGTATATAAGAATGATTGTGAACCTACATTTCTAACACATAAAACATGACTTTCTATTATGTTAGCTTAGAGAGGTGAAGATTTAAAACACATAGTTATAGAGGTAGCTGAACTGGGGAGAGTAGAAACTAAAAACTCAGAGAGGATAGAGATCAGGAAGTCAACAGAAGACCCGGGTTCTCATTGTAGGTTTTTTTTTAAATGTTTATTTATTTTTGAAGGAGAGAGAAAGAGAGACAGCATGAGCAGGGGAGGGGCAGAGAGAGAAGGAGACACAGAATCCAAAGCAAGCTCCAGGCTTTGAGCCGTCAGCACAGAGCCCTACGCAGAGCTCAAACCCACGGACCTGAGCCAAGGTTGGATGCTTAACCGACTGAACCACCCAGGCGCCCCTTCTCATTGTAGTTTTCATTTGCATTTTCCTGATGATGAGTGTCGTTGAGCACTTTTTCTTGTGTCTGTTGGCTATTTGTATATCTTACTTTGAAGGATGTCTTTTCATGTCTGCTGCCCATTTTTAATTGGATCATTCATCTTGGGGTGTTGAATTTTATAAGTTCTTTATATATTTTAGATACTAACCCTTTATCAGATACATCATTTGCAAGTATTTTCTGCCATTCTATAAGTTGCCTTTTAGTTTTATTGATTGTTTCATTTACTGTGCAGAAGGTTTTCATTTTGATGAAGTCCCAAATACCAACAACACAAGAAACAACAGTTGTTGGCAAGGTTGTGGAGAAAGAGGAAAGCTCCTGCACTGGTTGGTGGAAATGCAAACTGGTGCAGCCACTCTGGAAAATAGTTAAAAATAGAACTATCTTATGATCCAGCAGTTGTACTACTGGGTATTTACCCAGAGAATACAAAAATACTAATTTGAAGGGATACATGCACCCCAATGTTTATAGCAAACATTACCTACAATAGCCAAATTATGGAAGCAGCCTAAGTGTTCATCTGATGATGAACTGATGAATTCATTCTGACTGATGAATAGATAAAGAAGATGTGGTATATATATGTATATACACACACATACATGCACACATACACATACACATACATACACACACAGTGGAACATTAGGCATAAAAATGACTGAAATCTTGTCATTTGCACTGACATGGATGAAGCTAGAGAGTATCATGCTAAGCAAAGTCAGAGAGACAAATACCATATGATTTCACTCCTATGTGAACAAAACAAATGCTTATGGGGGAAAAAGAGAGGCAAATAAGAAACAGACTCTTAACTGTAGAGAACAAACTGATATTTACCAGAGGGGCGGTGGGTGGCGGGATGGGCTAAGTATGTGGTGGGGATTAAGGAGTATACTTCTAATGAGCACCAGGTGTTGTATGTAAGTTTTGAATCACTAAATAGTACCCCTGAAACTAATATTAGACTATATGTTAACTAACTAGAATTTAAATAAAAAACTAAAAACAAAAAACCCAACAGGTTCTGCAGTGTCTTAGGATGAGAAAAAAAGAGATCACTGAGTTGGACAGTTAGATCATTGGTGACCTTGGCTGACCTTGGGAAGGATAGTTTTTTTTTTTTTTTTTTTTTAATTTTTAAAAATTTTTTTTTTGTTGTTTCTGAGAGAGAGAGAGAAACAGCATGAGCAGGGGAAGGTCAGAGAAGGTGGGTGACACAGAATCTGAAACAAGCTCCAGACTCTGAGCTGGCTGTTAGCACAGAGCCTGATGCGGGGCTTGAACCCACAGACTGTGGGATCATGACCTGAGCTGAAGTTGGATGCTTTCCCAACTGAGCCACCCAGGCGCCCCAAGGGTAGTTTCTTTAGAATGGTGAGTGTAAAAGTTAAATTGAAGAGGATTAAGACATGAATAACTCAGGTAGTAAGGAGAAAGTAGAGAGTTGAAAAGTGTGATGGAGTTAAGGAAAGTTTGAAGGGCATGCAGTATTGAGGGGAGCAGAGAAGAGTAGGTATTTGACTTGCCTTTTATACTTAGTTTAGTAGACTTTAACAAGTGATGCTTAAAAAGGTTTTGGATACACTGTTGTAATATTGACATCATTTAATTTTAACAGAAAAATGTACCATGGTTATGTATGTCAGTATAAAGATGTTTTGAAGCAATATCAACTAAAATACTCAGAAACACCTCTTTCACGTGAATATTATGAAAAGAAAAAAGAACATGAAGAAATTCAAAATAGAGTGTTGGCATGTTCTGAACAACTAAAAATGAATGAAACTATCTTTATGGAATTTTTAGGTATTAATATTTTTGTTATATATTATTTAATAATTGTATTTTTGTAATGAAAAGAATAATGAATTAGACTAAAATACGATTTTGTTTTTCAGTGCCTGCTCCTTTTCCATCACTTACTAAATGGACATTACATATGTATCCACAAAAGTACTTCTTCCTAGAATTTTTGTTAGATAAGTGTTATTTCTGTATTTTGATTGTCATTGTAATTCTTTGGTAAGTATCACATGGATTTGGGGTTTTTTGTTTGTTTAATTTAAAAAATCTAGAGGTTACTTTAAAGGTCATCTGGGATTAGCTTTCATATATGTACATGTGATTAGAAGCAAGCAATTTTAATGAGAATAAAGTGATGTGTGAATCTACTTTAAGTGGTGTATCTTAGCAACCAAACCAATGTAAAAGTCTTCTTGCTCTGTCTTACCAAAGAATTCCAATTAAATCAACTGATTATAACTTAATAGAATGGAAAGTGGTAATCACAATTATTTACTCACTCATCTGTAGAAATTCATTGAGGACTACCTTGTGCCAGACAATCCTCAAGAAGATACAGAGCTTTCTTGCAGGGAGCTCACAGTTTAGTATGGGCGACAGACATGTAAACAAATAATTCTAATACAGTGGCATTGTATTAGATGATTAAGTAATTCTTAATTGATCTAAGTCTCATCTGTTTGTCAAGGTGATCTTCCCTGATGATGAACTTAGAACTTTAATCCTCTTCCAACCTGTACAATCCTTCATTTGCTTTCTTATTAGATTATAACTCCACTGTTTGTACTAAGTCTTCTTTATCCTGCATTCTACCTTGCTTCATCCTGCTTCATCCTAAATCATCTTTTAACTCTTTTGATGCTTGCTCTCTTCATGTTTAGGTTTTAGCTTATTCTGTTTTTTGTTGTTCATTTGCTGCCTGTCTGTGTTGTAACTTCTCAGTGGGAAGAGGCAGTAGGGAGTTCGATGTAGGAAGGGATGAGGTCTAGGATTATATGAGAAACAAGAAGAGGGGGTGAAGGTAGAGAGAATTGAAGATTAGTATTTAACTGTTTATATTTAAATTTTTTAATTGATACGTTTTATCATAATATAGTATAAATATTCATTTGAAATTTTATGTTCTAGCATATAAATTATATATTTTAGGGAAGAGCAGGAAATATTCCACCTTAAATAGATTTTCTCTGGAGTTCTTGTTCACTATCATTATTTTATTAATTTTTAAATTCTCCTAAATGGATTATAGAGTAATTTAGGAAATTGTAGTGGTTACTAACTGTGTAGGATGTCTGTTAATAGCTAAGAAATTTTCTGCTTGAAAGTGGTGTAACTCCAGTTCAAGCAGAAAGTCCAAATGGAAGATCTTGCTGTCTTCTGAGTCCTGTGGGCTGTGCTGATGAACCTTATAGAACAAGAAAATGGGAATTGGGTAGATTTTTAAATATTGATTTTGGAACAAATAAATAATGGAAACACAAGAAGTTAAATTTGGACCTGAATTGATTATGTATTATTAGTAACTTGATGAACTTGGTTTAAAAAACAAAAGCAAAAAAAACCCATGTGAAATATTTAAGCAAAAAAAAAATTATAGCGTATTTTAGATGAAATGTTTTTAAGTTCAATATATAACATAGATAAGCAACGAATTATCTTTTTCAGTTTGCCATATGTTCATGTCAGCATTGCCTCTGTTTTCAGGTACTGTTATTAATATTGCCTATTGCTTATATAGAACATTTTTATAAATAATATGATATAATATTAACTAGTTTTGATAAGGTACGTATGTTATAAATGTAAAATTTACTCCTATAACATTGTTCCTTAACATAAAAGTGTTAATGTGAGATGTAAAACACAAGATATTCTTAAACATGCCAGCAATTTTTCCAAAAGTTCATCTGAATTGAAGAAAGAAGTAGATGAAGTGGAAATAGAAATTAATTACTTAAACCAGGTATATATTTTGTAATATATTCCTAATATATTTATTAATGTATGAGTATAATGGTACACTTAGTCTTAGAAAAGCTGTTTCTAAAGAACCTAAATATAGAGAAAGACTTATGATAATTTATTTGTCTCAGATTACCTTTGGAGCCAAAAAATATGTTTTAGGTATGGAGTATATTTAATTTTGAGTTTTAGGGAACAGTTTAATTTTCTTTGGCAGCTCAAGAAAGATGAGTAAAGAACAAGATGTAGCTTAATAACAGGAACTTCAAAGACACTTGGTTCAACAGTGTTATGAGCAAAGTGAATAAGACAATGGTTCTAAGAACTTGATCTTGAAAATTTATGGCTATAATCTTTGTACAGTTTAGCTAAAACTAGTTTAGCCTTAAAGATTGATGGTGCATGATATTTTCTTGAATACATTTTTAATGTCATCTTTTGAAATGGCTTCCATTGACTGAGAACCCATCAAAGTTACTTCCAAATTCTGAGAAAAAAAATAGAATAGCTAATTTTCTGAATTTTTAAAAAATTGTGTTGAAGAAGATACATTTACCATTCATAGGTAGAAGGTTCCAAATAGCAGTAAAGTCATTTTAGTAATAAGAACAAAGTAGATGCTACTTCTTTTAAAATGTATGATAACTGGTCTGTATACGAGAAATTGATGTCTGCTTTGCTTCTAACTGTGCTTTTTTTTAAAAAGGAAGATGGAAGTTCATTGAATCCAGGTTGCTAATGGAATTGTAAGGAAAAGTTAAAGGAGTATGATTTATTGTTAATTTTGACCCAATTTTAGCAACTTTCACTAAAAGATAGCTAATCCTATGAAAACATAAATCCTGTAATTATATAGAAAAAAATCATATTTATTAGTTAAGATAAAGGATATGTTTCTTAGGTATTTGTTTTGCTTTGTCATTTTTCTTTTTAGCAAATTGCAAGACTTCATGAAACTAAGAATCTTGCCGAAACTCTGGAAGAAAAAAATAAAAATATAGAAAAGAGAAAGGAATTGAAAGAAAGGTATAGGTAAACTTTAAAATGGGATTTTATTTTGATTCTATATTCTCTCCCACTCATATTCACACAGTATCTATATACATTTTTGTGGAGGCTATTTTCTGCTTATTTCTTACAGAACATATTAATTTATACCCTTAAATATTACAGGCTAATGTTAAAATATGCTTGTTATTTAATAAGGTCAGGGATAATGTATAGAGAGAAATAAGGTAACAGCAGCACATTTGCTGTTTTGTAAGCTGTCATTGCACCTATATTTCATTCAGTTTTCCATGATGGGTTACCAGTAGTAGTGAAACAAAGGAATAATAGTTGGAGCTGCACTGTATTTAACTTTTTAAAAAATGTTTGTGTATTTACAGGGGTGCCTGCAGGGCTCAATTGGTTAAGCATCCGACTTCGGCTCAGGTCATGATCTCAATGGTTCTTGAGTTTGAGCCCTTTGTTGGGCTCTGTGCTGAAAGCTTAGAGCCTGGAGCCTGCTTTGGGTTCTGTGTCCACCTCTTTTTTCCCCTCTCCCCCACTCATTCTCTCTGTGTCTCTGTGTGTCTTTCTCTCTCAAAGATAACCACTTAAATTTTTTTTAATGGTTATTTATTATTTTGAGAGAGAGAGAGAGAGAGAGAAAGCACAAGCAGGCCAGTGGGGGAGGGGTGGAGAGAATCCCAAGCAGGCTGTTATCATCAGTGCAGAGCCCAAAATGGGGCTCTATCCGTAGAACTATGAGATCATGACCTGAGCCAAAATCAAGAGCTGGATGCCCAACCAACTGAGCCACCCAGGTGCCCCTGTATTTACCTTTTTATCACTGTCACCAGCTTGACCGGTTCTTCTTTTGCAACAGAGAGTGAAGATGAATCAAAATGCTACTGAATCTGTGGCATCGTACGTTTCCTGGTTTTTCATCCTTATGGTGATAAAACAGACATCAGTGGTGGATGCATTAAAAAAAAAAGATTTTACCTGTTACTGTGTGACAGAAAAATAGATGTATTACTGTTGCTTTGTCTGATAAAATGTCTACCTTTTCTCTTTTTGCCTGTATACTTTTTTATTCTTCTTAAATTCACCTTCTTAGGCTCCATTGCTCTTGTCCTGATGTTTCAACACATTCCTCTCCCATATTAATTTTTCTGATCCCATTTTTTTGGATCTATTATCTTCTTGAATCCCCCCTCCCACTTATAAACATAATAATGTGTCTTTAATTCTGTAAAGAAATTGATTAGGAAATAAGTACATGTACAAAATTTCGCTTCATTGACTTTTTAGTACTGTAAAAATCCTCTGTATTAAGAGAAATTTATGTAACTGTTCAGTCATTTTTACTCAATATCTATTAATTATTAGAAGTAACATCATTTAAACTATTTAACTAAAAATAATTAAAGTTACTTCTTTAATTTAGGAAAAATTCAGTGGGTAAGAAACTTAAGTAAAACTTTAAGTAAAAAACTAAAAAGACCCATTTATGACTTGTAATATTGTTTAGTGGTTTCTGGATTCATGTAGTTGATTTGTTTCTTAATAATTATTTTTAAAATGTGAAGTACTTTGAAATCTATGGCATGCTGTTTGTGGATAAAGTTTTGGTTTAAATGTTTTTGACATGTGTAGAAATTCTTCTAAAATGATTCTGTTTTAAAAATGAGAGTGTGGTATACTGAGAACACTGGACTTAATCAGGAAAAGTGTGTTTTAGCTGTGACACCAGTCATTAATTTAATAATATTGGGCAGATCTGTTAAATTTTCTGGAACTCAGTTTTACTATCTGCAAGATGAGTTTATACCATATAGTATATGAGTCTCTTTTAGATTTAAAATATGTTAATTTTTTACCTACTAAATATTTAATGTAATTTTTTCTCTTCAGAATTTTTGAAAAAGATGAACATGTACTTATATTGAATAAAGCCCCTCAAAACAGTCAATTATTTCTTCTATATGAAGCTGAGAAACTAGTCAGACCAGTGAAAATGCATTCTTCAGAGGCAAGAGTTGTAGGTACAGTATCTGTTAATTATTTTAAAACTTCATTTTCTTTGTAAACACATAAAGGAAAAGACAGAAGGAATTTTTGTTATCATTTGATGTGAGTAAGTTAAGAACAAACAATACTAGAGACCAATAGACTCAGGAAGTATCACTTTGATTCTTTCTGAGAATGACAATATGCCTTCTATACCTAACTTTTTTCTCTTTGAGAGAGAAATCATTCACATATTAAAACAAGTGTTCTGGTTGGGTCGCACTGCTGTCAGAGGAGGACGAATAATTTTTCACTTGAGAAGTTGTGTTATTAGTATGTGTAAATAAAATGGGTAGCCAACTTATATTAATGATATTTGTGACCTATTCACTGAGACATTTGAATCACAATTCATTCATTGGATCTGCAGATTAGATTAACTACATTGTATTAGATTAACTGCACTAACTGTTCTTTTTCCCCCAGTCTTGGTTCCTCATTATAAAGATGTAATTTTGCAAGCTGGTTTTCATTGTACATTCATGCTTATTGTGATAACTTATATAGTGAGGAATTAAAAGTTTTGTAGGAATTTCACACTTCTATAATTTAAATTAAATCTTCACGTAACTTGATTTTTTAAATTTCAAGTTTATGTTGAATATTGGGCATAATATTTGATTCTATCTCTGGAATTCATTTGAAGTTGTACAATTTGATAACCTAGATAGAAAAGAAGAAAGTTCTGTGAAACAGTCAAAGGTTGCCAGTATTGACATTAGGCAGAAAGAAAACAACATGCAGGTAGGTATTTCCTTTTTAATAATATAAATTAAATATTTGCTTGCATTAAATGAGATAGTGAATATACTGCTTTTAGAACAGTGTGTGTGTATGTGTATGTGTTATGAATATATTAAGTCAGCCATCACTACAACCTCAGGGTCTAAAAGTCTTAAAAGAATTTCAATATGGTATCCTGAACATATAACCTTCTCACTTACTCTTAAAAAATAGAAAAGATACTTAAAAATACCAAGCCCTGTACCTAGCAGATCAAAACCAGAATTTCTGAAGGAGGAAAACAGGATTGGATTAAAGGGGGAAATTGTTACCCGCGACTTGCATAGAGTACTATTGTAAAAGGTATGGGTCTGGGGACGGTAATAGGGTAATTGGTTGGGTTTCTTCAGTGAGAGTTAATTAGTTAACACCTGTTCAACTCATATCTACTCTGCCTTTGGGTAGGCATCAGCAATGGATGACTGTCTCTAGGCAGAAGCAGTAAATATATAGGAGGTTGGTTTAGAGAGATAGATGGTAACTCTAGGGAGTTCTTTTTTAGGTTTATTTATTTATTTTGAGAGAGAGCACAAGCAGAAAAGAGGTGGAGAGAGAGGGAAAGAGAGTCCAGAACAGGCTCTACATCATCACATCATCAACACAGAGCTTGACACAGTTTCAAACTCTGAAACCACAAGATCGTGACCTGAGACAAAATCAAGAGTTGGATGCTTAAACAGCTGAGCCACCCGGGCACCCTTCTAGAGGGTTCTTAATGCTTAAGAAAAATAAGGAGCGTACCACCCAGAAAGCTAGCTTCTGGAGTGGCACATCTCTGTCTTCCCCTCATTCTTCCTGAAAATAGTCCAGAGGGAAATTCTCAATGGAAAATATAATTGCCTTTCATTAATTTATAATTAATGCATACAGATAGAGGGACAGTGGTAACCAAAGTAATTAGTGAAACTTATCCAAATATGTATTAATTACAAAAGTTTTTAAATCTGATACTCAAATTTCAGATGAGATCAATATAGTATGAAGGCGGGAAGATAAATGAGGGAAACAAAAGTTTACCCAAGTTCTTTTTTTTTCTTTGGGGATGGAGGTAGAAAGAAGATACGAATACTGATTCACTTATATATTGTTGGAAAAATGTGAACCAGTGGGTGTATGTTAAACATGTAAGGGTAACCAAAGTAAGAGAAATGAAAAGCACTACTAGTTTTAAAACAGTAGAAGAAAAAAGATGAAACCGTTTAATCAGTCCAACAAAAGACAGGAATGGGAGGGCAGATAAAATAGCTAGAATACATTATAAATGGAAAATAAGATGCCATAAATAGTTCTGAACAAATCAGTAGTCAGAAATGTGACGTACATGTTTCTCTGGGATATATAAACAAAATAACAGACATATGCTTTTATTTTTTTCCAAGTTTTACTTAAATTCCAATTAGTTAACATACATTGTAATATTAGTTTCAGGTATAGGATTTAGTGATCAACAAGTCCATACAACACCCAGTGCTTATCAGAACAAAAGCTCTCCTTAATCCTCATCATCCATCTGGCTTATCTCCTGCCCACCTCCATTCCAGCAACCCTTAGTTAGTTCTCTATAGTTAAGAGTCTATTTTATGGTTTGTTTGCCTCTCTTCAGCCCCAACCCCATGTTCATCTGTTTTCTTATGTTCCACATAAGAGTGAAATCATATGGTATTTGTCTTTCTCTGGCTGATTTATTTTGTTTAGCATAATACTCACTAGCTCCATCTACGTCATTGCAAATGGCAAGATTTCATTCTTTTTGATGGCTGAGTAATATTCCATTATATATATAATACATATATATACACACATATACAATACACACATATATAATATACATATGTATCTATCACATCTTTTTTATACATTCATCAGTTGATGGACATTTGGGCTGTTTCCATAATTTGGCCATTGTTGATAATGCTGCTGTAACATCAGGGTTTATGTATCCCTTCGATTTTATATTTTTATATCCTTTGGGTAAATACCTAGTAGTGCAGTTTTTGGATTGTAAGGTAGTTCTGTTTTTAACTTGTTAAAGGAAACTCCATCCTTACTGTTTTCTAGAGTGATACAGCCATATACATACTTTTAAAATAGAAGAGCTGAAACAACTTGACAAATGAAGGGTGAAAGTATAACAATGGGAAATATATACCAGGCAAATGCAGAAAAAAGTAGATGTTAACAATGCCTTATAAAAAGAGGGTAACAAACCACAAAAGACTGTTAATGATAGAAAACATACTGGAAGGTTGATCGAGGGAGGTGGGTGAGGGATGGGCTAGATGGGTGATGGATGTTAAAGAGGGCACTTGGAATGAGCACGGGGTGTTGTAAGTGATGAATCACTGAATTCTACTCCTGAAACCGGTATTGCAGTGTATGTTAACTAAAATTTATGTAAAAATTAAGTAATAGAGTTCAAGACAAAAAGCATTAATAGGGGCAAATATATTTCATGTTTTTAAAAAGAATAACCAAGTCCACAGTAAATCACAATAAACCAAATTATACAGTTTCAAAATATATTAAAAAAAAACTGATGGAATTCCAAGAAAGTATTGAATCCACAATTTAAAAAGGATAGCTTTCTCTAAGTACTATCTTGAGTTTAGCGTTGAGTTTGGCTACATGTGTAACAACACAAAAACAAATGAATGAAATAGTAACATCTTAAACAAGATAAATATTTATTTTTCACCTGCTGTGAAATTCTAAAGTATAGGTGACTCAGGTTCACTTATCAGAGCTGATAGGACCATTTCTACAATGTCATTTCTCAGACTCCCTCTCTGCTTGATTTTTTCTGGTATATGCAGTATTCACCAAAATTAACTGTTCACTAACAAAAAGAATACCTCAATCAGTTCTAAAAAATCTCTTTCTTCACTTACCACTATCTAAAAAAATAGCAGTTAAACAAAAATGTAGCCCTCCTCTCAAAAAAAAAGTATTTAGCAGAGAAAAAGGAAATTTACACACTTTCAAATTATTTGGGGGTTACAGAAGAAATAAAAATAAAATTTAAAAACTTTTTAAAAGAATACTATAAACCAAAACCTGTGGAATGTAGCCAAATTGATTCTAAGAGAGAAATTTATATTTGAAAACAAGTATATTAGAAGATAAAGATTAAAAGTAGCTGAATTTTTAAGTAGGAAAAGTTTAATTCCATGTATGAAAAGCTCAATTCAAAATAGGAGAATAACAATTAATGCAAAGAAAGTAGGAATTAATAAAGAGAAGAACAGGAAATAATGAAATTAAAAGGTTGGATTAATCAGTATAGCCAAAAGTTAATAATTTTTAAATACTTGTAAAATAAAATTTTATTATATGTAATAAAATATAGAGGGGAGAAAAGTTCATATCATTGAACATAATGGAAGAAATCTTTTCAAAATCTTAAAAGAATACTATTTAAGACTTTATATCAGTAAATTTGAAAATTTAAGTGAGGGGGACAATTTTTTAGGACAATATAAATTGTTAAATAGCCTGGAAAAAAAAAGAAAAACATGAATAGATCAATTAACTAAAAATGGAAATGTAAGTGAAACAAATATAAGTGATTCTCTGTTTTCCTATTTTCTTCTTTACTTGCCTCCCTTCTCTCTCTGCCACATACACACACACACCCCTTTCAAAACACACCGGAATCAGTTTTTCATGTAAATTTTGCCAACCCTTTAGGAATAAATCAGAATTTCCAAACCATAACACTTGAGTCTACAGCCATACCACCCTGAACCCGCCCAATCTCGTCTAAACCATGACACTTGACATTTTTGGGCAGATAATTCTTTGTCGTAGAGTCATCTTGTGAGCTAGAGGCCAATAGCACCTTGCCCCTAAGAAAAGACAGTAAAAAATATCTTCAGAGGCACCTCAGTGGCTTGGTTGGTTAAGCTTCTGACCCTTGATCTCTGCTCAGGTCATGATCTCATGGTTCATGCGATTGAGCTCCACGTGGGGCTTTGTGTGGTTGGTTGGGATTCTCTCTCCCCCCCTCTCTCTGCCCCTCCCTTGATATCTCTCTCTCTCTCTCTCTCTCTCAAAATAAATAACAAACAAAATAAAAAAAAATATCTCCAGATATGGTCAGATGTTCCCTGAGAGACAAAATTGCCAGGGATAAAAATTTTAAGTTTGTGTTAAAAATCAAAATACTACCAAGCATGGTTGTTATACTTGTCCAAAAAACATCAAATTCCTTGAGAGTCTTTGTTTCCCAGTATTTAACTTAATATTTTGTATGTAGTGGTTTCAGTTAATGTTTGTAGTAGTTGTTCCTATTGATAATGAGGAGGAGGAAGAGGATGACCATGTTCTTGGAGAGCCTTCAGTAGCCATGACAAGAAAAAAAATTTTGTTGTTTGTGTAGCCAGTTCTAATGCTTCATTTCTTTTGTTCAGGTACCTACTGACTCTCCTGCGAATAAACATTCAAAATGCTCAGATGTTGTGACTGTTAAAAATTCACAGAATATGATGCATTTCAGGTAACTTTTAAAAATAGGAAAATGCTGGGCACCTGGGTGACTCAGTTGGTTAAGCTTCCGACTCTTGATTTTGGCTCAGGTAATGGGATTGAGGTAATGGGGTAATGGGATTGAGCCCTGTGATGCTTGGGTTCTCTCTCCTTCTCTTTCTTTCCCTTCCTCTCTCTCTCTCAAAATAGATAAACTTTAAAAAACAAAGTTATTTAAAAATAGGAAAATGTTTTAATTTCTAAAATAGTTTACCAACTCAGCAAATAATACTAAATTTTATTTATTGTATTACAGATTGTTAACCCCACAGAAACAATCAAATTGCAATCAGTGGTTTGAAAAAGGAGATACAGGTATTTGCTGTTTATATTTTTCCTAAGAAGTGGGAATAACAAATTATATCTGGTTTTTATACTATTCAAATACATTATTTGGATTGTTTGCATCTTTAGTTAACTGACCATGCATGCCTAGTTTTTAAAAACATTTTCACTAAATATAAAACATCATTTCATTGTAAAAGAGTTGGAAAACAGAGAAAAATACAAAAGAAATAAAGATACCATCACTCAGATTGTAACTGACACCATCCATACTGGTATATGTCCTGTCTTTTTTTTTTTCTATGTATGTGTGTATTTTTTTTCTTTTATTTATCTCCCAGATTTGAAACATGCTATGTATATCATTTTTTTTTATTATTTTAAAATGTTTTATTTATTTCTAGGAGAGAGAGAGAGAGACAGCGTGAGCAGGGGAGGGTCAGAGAGAGAGGGAGTCACAGACTGAAACAGGCTCCAGGCTCCGAGCTGGCAGTCAGCACAGAGCCCGACGCGGGGCTCGAACCCACGAACTGCGAGATCATGACCTAAGTGAAAGTCGGACGCTTAACCAACTAAGCCACCCAGGCGCCCCTATGTATATCATTTTGTATCCTTTTCTTTCCACTTGATATATTCTTGAGGAAATTTTTAATGCCATTAAATATATTTTATTTTTAATGACTATCATATGCCATTGTAAGAATATGCTATTATTTATTTAGCCATTCTCCCAAAATATTAAATTATTTTTATATTGAATTATTTTAATTATTTAGCCATTTTCTCTCAAAATATTAAATATTTTTGGGGGCATCTGGGTGACTCAGTTGGTTAAGTGTCTAACAGTTGATTTCTGCTCAGATCATGATCCCATGGTTGTGAGGTTGAGCCATATATCAGGCTCCATGCTGGACAGGAAGTCTGCTGAAGATTTTCTCTCTTCCTTTCCCTCTGCCCTTCCCCTGTGTGCACTATGTGCACATGCTCTCTCTTCTCTCTCTCAAAAAAATTTTTGTTTCCAGCTTGGGGTTTTTTTCTTGTTATGAATAATATTTTACCTAAGTATTTTACTATCTTGGATTATTTTCTTTGAATAAAATCATAGAAAGGTCACAAGATATATATGTGTGTATATATATATGTATGTGTATGAGTTTATTATCCTACAGTCAACTAGCTGTTGGAAATTTTCAAGGATGTCACATAAATAAATAAGGTATAATATGATGTGTAACATAATTTATCTCATGTACATATATACATATTTTGATAATCCAGTATGGATAACAATTATTCCACTCATTAGGCTATATAAAAGTCTTCACTTCTTGGCTGTCACTTGTGGATCACTGACTTTTATTTTGACATTTTAAAAATGGCTCATTCTATTGAATCAGTAATAAAAGAAAATCTCTCAACAAACAAAAGTATAGGGCCATATGGCTTCACAGGAGAATTTTACCAAACATTTATTTATTTTCTTAAATGTTTATTTTATTTTTGAAAGAGAGCGTGAATGCACACACAAGAGCCGGGAAAGGGCAGAGAGAGAGGGAGAGAGCACATCATCAGCAGAGAACCTGGCACGGGGCTCAATCCCACTGTGAGATCATGATCTGAGCTGAAATCAAGAGCTGGATGCTTAACTAACTGAGCCACCCAGGTGCCCTGAATTTTACCAAACCTTTAAAGAGTTAATACCTATTCTTCTCTATTCCAAAATATAGAAATTGAAGGAAAACTTTCAAACTCATTTTATGAGGCCAGCATTACCTGATTCCAAAACCAGTCAAAGATTCCACTAGAAAAGAGATCTGCAGGCCAACATCCCTGATGAGGTGGATGCAAAAATTCTCAACAAGATACTGGCAAATCAATTCTAATAGTACAGTAAAAGAATAATTCACCATGATCAAGTGGGATTTAATCCCAGGATATAAGGATGGTTCGATATTTGCAAATCAATGTGATATACCACTTTAATAAAAGAAAGGATAAGAACCATATGATTGTTTCAATAGATTCAGAAAAGCCATTTGATAAAGTACAACATCCATTCATCATTTAAAAAACCCTGAACAATGTAGGTTTAGTGGTATTATACCTCAACATAAAAGAAGTCCGTATACAAAAAACCCCACACCTAATATCATCCTTAATGGGGAAAAACAGAGCTTTTCCTCTATGATCAGGAAAAAGACAGGAATGTCCACTCTCACCACTGTTATTTAACACAATATTGGAAATCTTAGCCACAGCATTTGGACAGTAAGAAAAAATAGAAGACCTCCAAATCAGCAAGGAAGAAGTCAGTCTTTCACTCTGCAGATGACATGATACTCTATATAGAAAACCCAAAAGACTCTGCCAAAAAGAATGCTAGAATTGATCTGCAAATTCAATTAAGTTGCAGGACACAGAATCAGTGTACAGAAATCTGTTACACTTCTGCACACAAATAATGAAGCAGCAGAAAGAAATCAAGGAATCTATCCCATTTACAATTGGACCAAAAACTGTAAGATACCTAGGAATAAACCTAACCAAAAAGGTAAAAAGATTTATACTTTGAAAACTATAAAACACTGATGAAAGAAAATAAAGATGACACAAGGACACAAAGAAATGGAAAAACATTCCATGCTCATGAATTGGAAGAAAAAAATTGTTAAAATGTCTGTATTATCCAAAGCAATCTACACATAAAGTGCAGCCCCCATCAAAATACCACCAGCATTTTTCACAGAGCTAAAACAGTCCTAAAATTTGTATGGAACCACAAAAGACCCTGAATAGCAACCTTGAAAAAGAAAAGCAAAGCCAAAGCATCACAATTCCAGATTTTAAGTTATATTACAAAGCTGTAGTGATCAAGACAGTATGGTATTGGCACAAAATCAGACACATAGATCAATGAAACAATAGAAAGCCCAGAAATGGACCCACAATTATATGGTCAGCTAATCTTTGACAAAGCTGGAAAGAATATCCAATTTGGAAAAAAGACAATCTCTTCAACAAATGGTGTCAGGAAAACTAGACAGCAATGTGCAAAAGAATGAATCTAGACCACCTTTTTATACCGTACATAAAAGCAAATTCAAAATGGATGAAAGACCTAAATGTGAGACAGGAAGCCATTAAGATCTGAGAGAACACAGCAGTAACCTCTTTGACATTAGTCATTACAGCTTCTTTCAAGGTATGTTACTTGAGGCAAGGGAGACAAAAGCAAAAATAAACTATTGAGACTTCATCAAAATAAAAAGCTTCTGCACAACAAAAGGAAACAACAAAACTAAAAGGCAACCTATGGAATGGGAGAAGATATTTACAAATGACATATCTGATAAAGTGTTAGTATCTAAAATCTATAAAGAGCTTAGAAACTCAACATCCAAAATACAATCCAGTTAAAAAACAGGCAGAAGACATGAATAGACACTTTTCCAAAGCAGACATCCAGATGGCTAACACACATGCAAAGATGCTCAGTATCACTCATCATCAGGGAAATAAAAATCAAAACTAAAATGAGATTTCACTACATACCTGTAAGAACTGCTAAAATTAACACCACAGGAAACAATAAGTGTTGATGAGAATGTGCAGAAAGGGGAACCCTTTTATACTGTTGGTGGGAATGCAAACTGGTGCATCCACTGTGGAAAACTGTATGGAGTTTCCTCCTAAAATTAAAAATAGAACTACCTTACAATCCAGTAATTGCACTACTATTTACCCAATGAATATCAAAATACTAATTGAAAGGGATACATGCACCCCAATGTTTGTAGCAACATTATCAACAAACAAATTATGGAAAGTGCCCAGCCTGTGTCTATTGACTGATGAATGGATAAAGAAGATGTGGTGTGTAGATATACAATGCACTATTACTCAGCTATAAAAAAGAATGAAATCTTGCCATTTTCAATCATGTGGATGGAGCTAAAGTGTATCCTACTAAGCAAAATAAGTCAATCAGGGAAAGACAAATACCATATGATTTCATCCCTATATGGGATTTAAGAAACTGACAAATGATCATAGGGAGAAAGGCAAACTAAGAAACAGACTCTTAACTGTAGAGAACAAACTGATGGTTAGCAGTAGAGAGGGGGATGGAGGGATGGGTTAAATAGGTGGTGGGGATTAAAGAGTCTACTTGTGATGAGCACCGGGTGTTTTATGTAATGATGAATTATTAAGTACACTTGAAACTAGTATTATGCTGTATGTTAACTGACTGGAATTCAAATAAAAACTTAAAAATACTGGTTCATTTAGGCAGAAAAATTCTGTAAATATATGCATATTCAGAATGGTCTTATAATTTGAATCTATTTCTCCCACTCTCAAAATAGGGTTTGGCCAACACAATATGCTTATTCCATGCAGATGGATTTTCTTCCTGCTTTCTTCTGGAAAGAAGAATGATATCTCATCTGTACATATGATTTGTTCCACCTGTTTATAATCCTGTGTATATACCAAGCTGACAGAGCATTAAATAAGGGAGAAATGGCTGATCTCTAGGAACAGTGCACCCCTAATACGGATATGTGGGGAAATGCACATATCTGGCATAGTCCTAGCTACCATTGAGCATATATGGTAAAGCTTCATACCCAAAAAGGCATGTAGTTATCTTAGAAAAAAAGATTTTTAGGGGTGTCTGGGTGGCTCAGTTGGTTAAGCATCTGACTTCAGCTCAGGTCATGATCTCACCTTTCCCAAGTTTTAGCTTTGCGTGGGGCTCTGTGCTGAAAGCTCAGAGCCTGGAGCCTGTTTCAGATTCTGTGTCTCCCTGTCTGTCTCTGCCCCTCCCCCACTCGTGCCTGTCTTCTCTCAAAAATAAACATTAAAAAAAGAAAAAGAAAAAAAGATTGTTTTCAGCAGCCTCCCAAACCTGTCTTTTGAGGAAATTAATCTGTGGTGAAAACCATGGTTGTGACTTTAAATGCAAAAGGCAAAACTATAAAGCTTTCAGATGGCCAAACAAAAACATCTATTAGAGGTAGGAAAGACTTTCTTAAGTAAGAATTAAAAAGCCCAATAATAAAACAGGATAAATTTGGCTGTATTAAACTTAAGAGTTTCCATTCATCAAAGATGTTATTTAAAAAAACCAAGAATGTATTTGCAGTACATAAAACTGTCAAAGGACTGGTTTCTAAAAATGTATTAAGAACTTCTACAAACCAAGAAGAAAAAGACAACCCAATTAGAAATATGTGCAAAAGACGCAAATAGGCACTTCAAATAGAGAAACTTTTGTGGCAAATAAACATGAAAAGATACTCAGCAAATTAAGAAACTGAAAAATAAAGCCAACAGTTAGCTACTACACACCCAACAGATTAGCAAATTCAGAAAGTCTGGCAACACTAAGTGTTGATGCAAATATAGGACAGTAAGAACTCTCATAACTATTGGGAGGAACTCTCACTTATAAATGTCTATTGAGACCATATCTAAATTATAATTAGAAACTGAATGAGCTCCTAAGGTGACTTGGCATAGCTAGGTGCCACAACAAAAATTGATAAATAGTTTGGAAACTAAACTTCGGAAAATAGTTTAAAATTTGGTAAAACGAATTACCCTATACCTTGTAATTCCACTCCTGGATATATACTTAGAGAAATACAAGTATAAATATAAAAGAATATACGTATCATCAGTGTTTGTAATAGTCTCAAAGTAGAAACACCCTGAATGCTCATTTGCTAGTAGAATAGATATATTGTGATGTGTTTATAGAATGGAATCCTTTACATCAATACAAGTAAGCAAATTATGTCTAAATGAAACAATACATATGAATTTCACAAGCATATGCTGAACAAAAAAAAAAAAGATAACATATATTACCATTTCATCATATAACTTTTTAAAACAGGAAAAATAGACTTAACTTAGGTGATAAAACTATATAAAGCAAATCAAGGATATAATAATAACAGAAGTTGGGAGAGTGATTATCTATGGGGAGGAGGATATGAGGAATATGGGACATTTTGAAGTATGCATGATGTTCTATTTCTTTACCTGGGTGGTGGTTACATGGATATTCTCTTTTTCTTTGTTAAACTGTTCATATGGGTTTATTCTCTTATTTCTATGTGTTGGGTAGAACTATATGAAATTGCTATTTTTGTGGGTCAAAAACAGTTAAATGTTGGCAATTTCTTATTGTTTGTTTTATTTACAATTGTAAAAAAAAATTGTTGTCCCATAACAAACAGATGCTGAGTGTGAAGATAAAGGGACAGTAAGACCATTGAGGGAATCAAAATGTAGTTCACAAGTAAGTGAAATGTTTGGTTTCTAATTTCTAAGCAAAACATTCCAATTTAAAATATTGTTTCCACTTTAATTTCATATTAGGTTTAATGAAGATTATGTGAGGTCTAGATGTTATTTGGTTAGTAATCAAGTTGCTATGGTGTTAAAACTCCCATCCCTTAGAGGAGTTTTAGATTTAAAAAAAATGAAGCCACAAAAAGTTCACATGAAAATAAACAAAAAGAGCTGTCATTTATATTACATACTGTATATACATACATATATACTGTATATAATATGTAATGTATTAATATATAGTTATACTGTATATACAGCATATAATATATGTGCTGTATACAACATATTTATATAATATATATGCTGTATATACAGTATATACACGACACCTCAACTAAATCACAACTGAGGAAGACAGTTTTGTTTGGTAAAATTTGATAATTTTCCAGTCAAAACCAGTGGTTACCACAAAAATATCTTCAAAATACATTTTAATAGTGGAAAACTTTAATGATAGATGTAGACAATGTATATTCACTTTACTAGGTAACTACTAAGGGTTAAAACAAGACAAATGACATAGTAGAATACTGCTTAAGAAATACAGATAAAATACTCTAGCTCCATCCACATCATTGCAAATGGTAAGATTTCATTCTTTTTGATGGCTGAGTAATATTCATATATATATATATATATATATCACATGTATATGATTATATATATCACATTCATATATATCTCACATCTTCTTTCATTATTCATCAGTCAATGGACATTTGGGCCCTTTCCATAATTTGACCATGTGGATGGAGCTAGAGTATATTATGCTTAGCAAAATAAGTCAGTCAGAGGAAGACAAATACCGTATGATTTTCTCATATGTGGAATTTAAGGAACAAAATAGATGAACCTAGGGGAAGGAGAAAAAAGGAGAGAGGGAGAGGGAGGGAAGCAAGTAGAGAGAGAGAGAGGCAAACCATAAGAGATTCTTTATGATAGAAGAATAAACTGAGGGTTGCTGGAGGGGAGGGGGTTGGGGATGGGCTAAATTGGTGATGGGTATTAAGGTACACACTTGTGATAAGCATTGGGTGTTATATGTAAGTGATGAATCACTAAATTCTAGTCCTGAAGCTAATGTTACAATGTATATTAACTAGAATTTAAATAAAAACTTAAAAAAACCACACACACAAAAAAAAGAAATACAGATAAAATGCACATTTTAATTTTTTTTTGGTAGAAGGACCCAAATTGTTCTGAAGTGATATTTGGTATAGCAAACATTTGAGAAATCATATTTCTACCCTTCAAAATGATATAAAGCAACATTTGTGTTGAAGTTGTCAACCTTTGCAGAGAAAATAGTATAATGAATTTATAAGGGCAAAAAAGTATAAAGAACATAACTGATGAGAATAAGATTGCTTAGAAGTAAATTACTTTTTCCTTTTAAAGAGGTATTATATACAATCTTGAATCAGAACATGATGTGGAAATATTAAAAAAGTCATTCCTAACCATTTCATCAATTTGAGTATGTTCTAGTTATCATTTTATTTTTCAGGTAGAGGTAGGGGAGGTAGATCTGGGAAGAAAAGAAAAATTAGAAAATTAAAAATAGTTATTTTTCCATATTTTGCAATTATATTTTGATATCACATTTATGAATTAATATTTTAGTTATTTTGTCTATAAAGATAACATAATTAGTATGGTGTTTTCTACCTCACACATTTTTATATATATGAGTTTGTTCATGTAAAAGCATTCATTTTTATAGTTTTCTATTATTTTGAATTTGTAGGTTATATGCGCAGAACATTTTGGGAAGTCAATAGAAAATAATAGTGATGAAGTAGAAGAAAGGACTGAGAATTTTCCACAAACTCCTGAAATTCCTTTATTTTTAAGAATTCCTGAAGCTGTGAAAACACCTGAACCTTTGGAGAAATTATTGTTTCCTAAAACCCCATCTTTTGAAATGTAGGATTTTAATTAATAATTAAAGAATCTATATATTGAGTCAAAATTATATAAATATTAGTAGGAATAGTAAAATGTCTAGTACCTGTAACTTTAAAAAGGTTTTTATATGGAATATTTCAAATATGCAAAGGAGAGACTAGCATAATGAGCCTCCATGTACCTATTATCCTGTTCAAATAATTATTAGCATTCTACTATTCTTGTTCCATAGAACCTTTTTTCCTTTTTTCCTACAACACTTAGCTGAAGATGGCATAGATTCTGAGTACTTACCCCATGCAATAGTATATAGATTTAAGATTTTCCAAAGGATAAAAACTGTGTGGAAAAATGTTAAATGTCAAGCTAAAAAGCAACTGTCATGTATAGAATAGCTTGTGGACATCACTGAAGAATGTTCCAGGTGTTATTTTCCCTTATGTTGTAGTGTCTAAAGCAAGAATTTCTACCTGCCAACTAACCTCAGTAGGCAGAAATATCTCTAACATGATTATTTAACTTTGGAAACCACAGATTTGTAGCTTACAGCCAAGAGAATAATGCTGCATTTAACCTTTTTATTTACTTTAATCACTTTTGAAACTACAAACCTTAAGATTGTTTTTTTTTTAACCTTAAGATTTTTAAAAAACATATGTCCAACAGATTTCACTTCAGGAATCTCTTACCCATGTTCTACTTCTGTAGTTTGAATTGTTAGTAAAAGTTTAATATGTGAAAGTCATGCTGTTGACTCAAACACTGAAAACTGTAAAAAGAATGGCAGCTATATACTAAAATTTATGTTAATGGATGAGAAAACCAATCTGTAAAGTTAAGTGACTCAGTGATGGTCATGGAGACAGTTATGGAAGTATCTTCAGATTTCTGTTATATGTAACAGTAGCATTAACTGTGTCTAAGCATTTTATAAACTGTGAGACGTAAATACATTATTAGAGGAAGAAGAAATAGAATCACAGGTGAAACAACTCATTACTGATAGAATTGTGATTCAAATCCAGGCATTTCTGCCTCCAGAATTCATGCATTTAACCATTGTGTTGTATACTGTCTTCTCTAATTGTTTTTCCCAAATCATTTTCTAGTTTAACTTCCTTATGCAAAGTATGTAATGGCTGACTTCTTGTTAAGACTAAATTCTTGTCATTGGATTTCAGTATCTTGGGGACAGTATAACCTCAAAGTTAAAAGCTTGGACTTTGAATCTGGATTGCTGAATTTAAATCCCACTCTGGCATTTACATTTCTTGGAGAAAGTTATTTAACCTTTCTATGCTTCAGAATTGTCTTCTGTAAGATGCTTCAGAATTGTCTTCTGTAAGATGGGGGTGGTAATACCGATTTCATAAAGTTACTGTGAGAAATACATAAGTTAATGCCTATGGAAATACCTAGAATAGACCCCGACAGTTTATTCTCAGTTGAACTTCATTATTATCATTCCATAATTGATTGTTGTACTTTAGCATTCTTCACCTCAAGTTATCTTTTTCTTAAGAGTTTTGTCACTTCAATAACTATTCCTTCCCTTTCCCTACTGTGCTAATTCTTACTTCTATGCTATTTCTTATGGTGTTTACCAGTCTGCAGTATTTAGTAATATATTTTTAACATTTTTATTATTTCTTATCTCTCTGTGACAGAAATAGAAATATAACGCTTGAAGGTCAATCACAAAAGGAATCCCCTGGATTTTCTTTTCTTATGAATTATACTTCTAGATCTCCTGGATTGAATTTATTTGATTCTACTATGTTTGATTCAGAAATCTCATCAGATCAGGTAATATGAGAAGCTAAAGTTTTATTTCTAAAAAACTACACTGGAGGGGCACCTGGGTGTCTCAGTAGGTTAATAAGCATCCATCGCTCATGTTATGATCTCACAGTTTGTGAGTTTGAGCCCTGCATCAGGCTCTGTCAGCGCAGATCCTGCATACCCCCCTCTCTACCCTTCCCATGCTCACACTGTCTCTCATAAAAATAAATAAAACATTAAAAAATAAAAATAAGAAAAATAAAAACTGTACACTGGATCCTTCAAGTAATTTTAATTCTTTGGTATCAAACTGTCTTGGGACAGAGTACAAAGCACCAGCAATTTTGTAGAAGATTCTGAGTTTTATTGATAGTATAGCAGAGTTTTCCCATTATGTTTTTATTTTCAATTTCAGGTACCCTCAGTTGATATCTATTTATTTAAAAAAAGAATTTCAGGATAGGGTTGATTAAATTTCAGTTAAAGGTAGTTTAAAATTAATTTGGCTTTATAGTTCATGTGTCTACTAACCAAACCTCACATATTCTCAGTGTGAAAAATTCTCCAGGTTATTAGTCTTTTTATCTACATATGTGTACATAGCAACATTATCAGTTAATTTTTTAGAAGACCTAATTTTCTTCTAATAGTGATAGTGATTCTACTACTCAATGATAGAATAGTAAAGTGCTTATTTCTGTATTTGTCAATTGAAACTGAAAATTAAGATGTATTTTATTTGATCAGTAGAGACAGCACAGTGTAGTGGTTAAGCCTACACTCTGATACCACACTAGTTGACTGGTTTCCACTGTGGAAAACAGTATGAAGTTTCCTCAGAAAGTTAAAAGTAGAATTGCCCTGGGGCGCCTGGGTAGGTAAATTGGTTAAGTGTCTGACTTTGGCTCATGTCATGATCTCAAGGTTTGTGAGTTCGAGCCCCACATCGGGCTTTCTGCTGTCAGCACAGAGCCTGCTTTGGATCCTCTGTCTCCATTTGTCTGCCCCACTCCTGCTTGCTCTCTCTCTTTCAAAGAAAAATAAATATTAAAAAAAAAGTAGAACTGCCCTACATCCAGCAATTTCCCTATTTTCTTTTGGCTCATCTTCCACTGTTTTAATGCTCAGAGAATCCTTCCTCTTTTAAGATCTAATGAATATTTAAAGTTTCATGACTTTTAATACTGTTTTGAAGGGATGTATGCACCCTGATCTTATAGCAGCATTATCAACAGTAGCCAAATTGGGGCACCTAGGTGGCTCAGTTGGTTAAGCATTTGACTCTTGATTTCAGCTCAGGTCTTGATCTATCAGCTTGTGGAATCAGGTTCCATGAAGGGCTTTGCACTGGCAGTGTGGAACCTGCTTGGGATTCTCTCTTTCTACCTCTTTCTGTGTGCCTCCTCTGCTTGTGTGCGAGTTCTCTCTCTCTCAAAATAAATAAACATTTTTTTTAATTAAAAAAATAAAACAATAGCCAGATTATGGAAGGAGCCCAAATGTCCATCGACTGATGAATGGGGAAAGAGGATCTTGTGTACACACACACACACACACACACACACTGGAGTATAATTCAGCCACCGAAAAGAATAAAATCTTGCCATTTGCAATGACTGAATGGAGCTAGAGAATATCATGCTAAGCAAAGTAACTCAGAGAAACACAAATACCACATGATTTCACTCATATGTGGAATTTAAGAAACAAAACAGATGAACATAGAGAAAATAAGAAAAGAGAGGGGAGCCAGAAAAAAGACTCTTAATTGGAGATAAATGGGTAATGGAAACACACTTTAAATTTAAGATAAAAACTTAGAAAGTAAATGAATGAAAAAAAAAATCACAAAAACTAATAAGGAGGCCACAATGGCTGTACTTACATCATTTTAGATAATCTTCAAGACAGTTTTGCTAAAGATAATGAAGGACATTTCTTAAGGATAAAAGGGCTAATTCTCTAGGAAGATACAACAATGAAAAATGTGTATGTGCCTAATGACAACTTCAAAATACCGAAACAAAAGCAGAGCATAAGGAAGTCAGTGTTATTGTAATAGGAATGTAATGGGACAGATGGTAGCTGTACATGTGATGAACATAGCATAATGTATAAATTTGTTAATTCATTAAGTTGCACACCCAAAACTAATATAACATTGTATGTTAACTATACTGAAAACACTACTATACTCAGAAACAAAAATTGACTGAATTAAAGGGAAAAATAGAAAAAACACAAACTTAGTTGGAGATTTTTAATAAACCCCCCTCTCAGCAATTGATTGAATTAGACAACATAATCAATAAAGATCTATAAAATCTGAACAACCCCATCAACCCTAGTGACCTAACTGACATTTATAGAACAATGCATCCAGCAACCGCAGCATATGCAGGCACACCTTGTTTATTGCACATTGCAGATACTGCCTTTTTTTTTTTTTTAAATAAAGTATAGGTTTATGGTAACCCTGTGTCAAGCAAGTCTGCTAGTATCATTTTTCCAACAACATTTGCTCACTTTTATCTCTGTGTCACATTTTGGTAATTCTGACAATATTTTTTTTTAAATGTTTTATTTATTTCTAGAAGAGAGAGAGAGAGAGACAGCGTGAGCAGGGGAGGGTCAGAGAGAGAGGGAGTCACAGACTGAAACAGGCTCCAGGCTCTGAGCTGGCAGTCAGCACAGAGCCCGTCGCAGGGCCCGAACCCACGAACCGCGAGATCATGACCTAAGCGAAAGTCGGACGCTTAACTGTCTAAGCCACCCAGGCGCCCCAATTCTGACAATATTTTAAACTTTTTCATTATTATTTGTTATGGTGGTCTATAATCAGTGATTACAACCCACTGATAGCTCAGATGAAGGTTACCATATAGTTTTTAGTTATAAATTATGATACTTAAAAATTTTAGTGTGTGCATTTTTTAGACATAATGTTATTGCACACTTACTAGATTACAGTATAGTGCAAACACAACTTTTATATGCATTGAGAAACCAAAAAATTCATTTGGTTTGCTTTATTGTGATAGTCACATTTTTTTAGTAGTCTGGAACTAAATTCATAATATTTCTGAGGTGTGCCTCTGTATTCTTTTCAAGTGCTGATAGTACATTCATCAAGACCACGTTCTAGGCCATAAAATGAGTCTTAGTGAATTTAAAAGGATTGAAATCATACAGAGTATGTTCTCTGCTCAAAATATAATTAAATTAGAAATTAATAATAAGGTAGAAGGAAAATCCTGAGTAATTAGGTCATGGATCAAAGAAGAAATCATGAAAGAAATTAGAAAAAATTTTGAAATGAATGATTACAAAAATTCAGTGTATCAAAATTGTAGGATGTTGCCAAAACCAGAACAAAACCATAGCTTTAATTGATATTTAAATAATTCAATTAATGGAAAAGGAGAAAGGTCTAAAATCAGTGATGTAAGTTCCCACTTTGAAAATCTAGAAAAAGAAGAACAAAATAAGCCCAAAGTAAATAGAATGACAAAATAAGGGAGATAAGAGAAGTTAATGAAATAGAAAACAAGCAATAGAGAAAATCGACAAAGCTGAAGTTGGTTTTTTGAAAAAAAACCCTGCGAGTTTATAAACTCATCATTAGACTGATAAAAAGAGAAGATAATTTACATATTTTATGAATGAAATAGTATTTTGATTCTACACACATTAATAATAAGAGAATACTGTGGAAAAGAAGACTGGTGAGGGGAAATCTAGAGCAAGCAAAGTGTGATAATGGTACAAGGATTAATAAATTGATCAATGGTATGGGCTAGAAAGTCTTGAAACTAAATCTTTATCAGATCTTAAAAAGAGGAAGGGTTCTTTGAGCATTAAAACAATGGAAGATAAGTCAAAAGAAAATAAAAGGTTTGCGTTTGGTTCCATAGAAAATTGTTATATTTTAATTTCTTTTTATTTTTAAGAGAGAGGGAGCATGGGGAGGAGGGGAAGAGAGAGAGAGAGAGAGAGAGAGAAGCTTAAGGAGTCTCCACACTCAGTGCTGAGCCCAATTTGGGGCTTGATCCCACAATCCTGGGATCATGAGCTGAGCTGAAATCAGGAGTTGGACACTCAACCAACTGAGCCACCCAGGCGCCCCTGTTAAAAAAAATTTTTTTAAGGCTAAGTGATAATGTGATATAAAATATTTGCAATAATATGACCAGGGATTAATATATTTAATATATGAAGAGCTTATATGGATTACCAAGATATATACAGAGTTCTTTAGGTGAATAAACAATTCACTGAAAAAGTAATTCAGGTGACATAAAATCTTTGAGAAAAACAGCACTCCTTATTGTCAAAGAAATGTAAATCTGTGCATAACAGTATTTATTCAACTGTAATTTGTATTAGGAAAAAACCCCCAGGTAACCTAAATGTCCAAATTGAAAGAATAATAGCAAACCAAAAAACAGACTCCTAACTATAGAGAACAAACTGATGATTACCATGGGGGAGATGTGTGGGGGGATGGATTAAATAGGTGATGGGAATTATGCAGGGTGATGAGCACCAGGTGTTGTATGTAAGTGTTAAATCACTAAATTGTACACCTGAAATTAATATTATACTGTGTGTTAACTAACTGGAATTTAAGTAAAACCTTAAAAAAAAACTGTGTGGTATGTCCAAATAGAAGAATGTTAAAATGCCATAAAAAGAATCTGGTTTTGGAAGAAAAGTAACATGGGAAAATGCTCATAATTCAACATTAAGAGAAAAAAAGGGGTCAGAAAACTATGTTTTCATAGTCTATGTCATGATCCCATTTAAAAAGAAAAAAAACCTGTTATACAGAGAAACCAGACTCTTCTAGCAGCAAAACTTGGTCAGAAGTAACATAAAGCTGTCATATTTCCTATTACTTTTATAGGCAGGAAAACAATACCAACAACCTGATTTGTAAAAGACCTTCAGAATAGAGCAAAAGTTAATTCGAATTTAGGTTATATTAATATTCCAAAGTAGGAATCATTTTTACCACAACACATATACCTTTTAATATTTTATCCATTGCCAGAATGAAATCAGTAAGTTTTATTTTAATATAAGTAAATGATAGGTTTTAAAGATAGATTTCTTTTTTAAAAAGTAGTGTGCTATAAAATAGAATGTTGCCATTTAAAAAAGGAATGTTTCCATTTGTGACTATTTTAATTATGCTTATTAGAAAAATCGGGATTTATATTCAAATATAAATGTCATTTATGCTGTTCTACTTACTTCATGAGTAATATTGAATGGAAATTATTTTTCAGCTTAATGAACATTATTCTGCAGGAAATTTAAATCCTCTTTCATCACAACAAGAAATTGGTAAGCGATTTGAAGTTTGCTACATATAAAAACATGTACCTTCTCAACTTATATTTAGTTTCTGATTTTCTCAGCTTATTCTTTTAAAATTCTGTTACTTCTGCACCAGTCACTGTTTTTTTGTAGCAGTTTAGCTTCTTCTCTCACTATGCCACCAAATTAATATTACTAGTGACTTAATTATCAAACGTTATGGGTATTTTGTATTAGTATCATACTCACTGTCTTTGCAGTGTGTTTGATATAGTTGACTGTTCTCATCCTTCTGAAGTTTTTGGATTTCTTCCTGTCTCTCCAGTGCTTACCTTTTATTGGATCTTCTTTCTTCTTTTATCCTATGATTAATGGATTCATTCAACATATAAATATAAACATATATGTGTATACATATAGTATATTTTATTTGCAGTACTGCCTTGGCTCTGGTGATAGAATAGTGGACAAGAATGCAGAGTTCTCATAGGGTTTGTGTTCCAGTGGGAGAGACTGAAAGACAAATAATGATTATATGTCAGGTAGTGCACTAAGCAGCAGTAGATATATAGATTTGATTGGCAGACTCACACATTACAACTTTTAATCTAATATTAGATTTACTTAGCTTTATAGAAATATATAGGATAGGAAATAACAGCATGTATAGCATATTTATCTCATTGAGAGGCCCGTCACCTACCCAAATAATAATGTTTCATTTGCCACCTCACTCACATGGGACATGTAAAGCTACTGTGGACAAAAGTCATGGTGAATAATACAAAAGTTGCAACCTCAGTTTCCCACCAGTCTTAATACCATTCTAATCATAAGGTCCAAAGACTGCATCCTAACTCATACCTCACCTAATTCAGGTGCAGTCCCACACTAAATTAGGAAGACACATTTACTTTAATTCTCTATTTTCTAAGAAAATAGTCCTGTGAGAATTTGGACTTAAAGGGCATCCTTCCATGTGGGCTTGGATCAATGCAGGCTTGATGTTAGCTCTTTTCTCACTGGGGGTGATAAGTATTACGAAGAAAAGAAACAGAGTAAGGGCAATGGGTAGTATTTGGATTGGGAGAGTGGTTTCTCTGTTACAAGGGAGTCAGGGAAGACATCACTAAAAGGCAGCATTTGAGCAAAGACCTGAAGGAGGTGCTAGGGACAAGCTACTTGGGTAAGTGTTCTAGGCAGAGGGTGCAAAGATTTTGAGATGAGAGCATACTCAGCATTTTTGTTGGATAGTGAGTAAATTGGTATGATAGGAATCAAATAAGGAGTGAGAAACTGGTAGGAAATTAAATAAGAAAGGTTGGAGAGAGAGCCAACCGTATGGAGCCCTAAGACCGTTAAGGACTTTGGGTTTTTTCTAAGTGACATGGGCAGTTTGTTGGAAAGTTTTGAGCAAAGAACTGATGCGATTTAATGAGTTTTAGGAGCATTATTTGGCTGCTATATGGAGAATGGACTGTATCGAAATGAGTGAAACCAGGGAGATTTATTAGGAAGTAATTAAAATAATACAGGTGAAAATTCATGGTGGCAAGGATAGTGGTAGTGGAACTGGTGAGAAGAGGTCAGATTTGGTCATTAAACTTTCTGAAGGTAGAGTTGCAAGGATGTAAGGATTAAGAGAAAGAAATAAGGATGATATGAAGAAGATTTTGATGAATAACTGCCATTTGGTTGGAGGCAAGATGGTGGAGAAGTAAGGACCTCTGTACATTTCACCTGCACCCATCTCTCAAACAGAGAAGGCCTGAAGTCATAGGACACTGAGCCACAGGAGTTTGAGAAGAGAAAGAGACAAGGTACACTGGGAAAGAAACCTCACAAGTGCATGAGTGCGAACTGGGGAAGATAAAAGCAGGACGGGACCCAGAGATATGGAGGGAGGGGAGGGAACCTGGCTTGCGTGCAGCTGTGGTGAGTGATAAACTGGCTAGTGGTGGTGAGCTGCCGCGAGTCCAGGGGAAAGGAAAGAAAAGCTGAGATTGCTCATAGAACCGTCCCTGGAGAAGAGAAAAAAACCTCTGCTTAAAAAGACCATGTGTTTTTAGCTCTGGCTGGGGTGTTGACTTTAAACTAGGTGCCCTGGTCCCAGAAGGTGCCAGGAAAAACTGGACTGCCTTGCTCCCAGCACCATCCATGGCTGCGGCGGCCTGGTAAACCGGTGGCAACAACGCCTGCGGAGGCTGTCCCTGCGGCCAGTGAAGCGGCGGCCGTGCGCACAACAGTGGCCTGCTGAAGCGGCAGTGGCGACCCCGTGAAGCGGAACTGGTACCCAGTAAAGCGGCTGCATCACGCGTGAAAGCAGCCCGCTGAAGTGGCAGCTGCCCGCTACAGCAATGAGGACTCTATGGACCTGAAGTTGCTATGTTCCCGTACGAACTCAGGTTGTATCCCTGCTTGGGGGATCTGAGGCTGTGACACTTCCCTCACCCCCCACCCAAACCCCAGGCAACAGGGAAGCAGAGACCTGCGGGACTGTTTAGGGCAGTATAACAAAGGCCACAGACTGGGACCTGGAAATGAGGCGGGATGTGAGGCGTAGAACTCAGCCCACCTTGGCTACATCCTCAGCACAGGGAGATCGTACCGAAGAAGTGATTTGTAATGCTTGGTTGGGAAGGGACTGGGGCTACGCCATTCTTCTCCCCACAGCCACCAAGGAGGCGCCTCAGGGAGGCCAGTGGACACACTGGAGACAAGACCTGCACCAAACCACTCCCATCCCCTCCAGATAGCTGTTTTCTTGTTGTTGTAGCTGTTTTTACCTGAGCCTGGATTTGCGTGTATATTGGTTTTGTCTGTGTTTGTGTACCTGTGTTCCCTCTGTGGCTGTCTGTATCCTTTTTCCAGGGCTGCCTCAAGAAACAAGCCAAACTACACATGGTGGAGAGTCCCAAATACCACTACCAGTAGGGAAACAAAATAACCAAATGCTCAACAAGAGAAACCCAAAGACACCATCCAAAGAATACTTCTGAACAGACAGGCCCTGAACAGTCATAAGAGTCCTCTCTAATACAGCAGAACTCGCAGGGGCCATGTGTACAACAAGCTTTTAAAATTAACAAGTGATAGAAAGCTAATCAAAATGATGAAACAGAAGAACTCTCCTCCAGAGAAACTCCAGGAAGAAATGACAGCTAGAGAACTGCTCAAAACAGATATAAGCAACATAACTGAAGAAGAATTTAGAACAATAATCATAAAATTAATCGCCGGGCTTGAAAAAAGCATGGAGAACATCAGAGAAACTATGGGTACAAACAATATGGAGCTTAAAAATAGTTATGGTGAATTAAAACATGGGATAAATGAGATACATAATAAACTGGAGGCATCCAATGCACGGATTGAAGAGGCAGAAGGAGAATAAGTGATTTAGAAGACACTATTATAGAAAAAGAAGAAACTGAGAAAAAGAGAAATAAACTAATCCAGGAACATGAAAGAAGAGTTCGAGAGCTCAGTGATACAATCAAACGGAACAATATCCGTATCATAAGAATCCCAGAAGAAGAGAGAGGGAAAGGTGCTGAAGGAGTCCTGGAACAGATTATAGCAGAGAACTTCCCCAACCTGGGGAGGGAAGTAGAAGTTGAAATTCGAGAGACACAGAGAACTCCCCTCAGACGTAACTTGAGTTGATCATCTGCACGACATATCATAGTGAAACTGGCAAAATATAAGGACAAAGAGAGAATGTTGAAAGCAGCTAGGGAGAAGAGGGCCCTAACATACAAAGGGAAACCTATCAGAGTGGTGACAGACTTATCTACTGAAACTTGGCAGGCCAGAAAGGAATGGCAGGAGATTTTCAATGTGATGAACGGAAAAAATATGCAGCCAAGAATCCTCTATCCAGCAAGCCTGTCCTTCAAAATAGAAGGAGAGATAAAAGTCTTTCCAAATAAACAAAAATTGAAAGAATTTGTCACCACTAAACCAGCCCTACAAGAAATCCTGAGGGGGACTCTCTGAGGGAAGTGTTGCAAGGAATGTAAGATACCAGAGACACCATCACAAGCATGAATCCCACAATGTACACAATGACTCTAAACCCACATATTTCAATAATAACACTGAATGTAAATAGGCTAAATGCTCCATTCAAAAGACATAGAGTAGCAGAATGGATAAAAAAACAAAATCCATCTATTTGCTGTCTATAAGAAACTCATTTTAGACTGGAAGATACCTTCAGATTAAAAGTAAGGGGATGGAGAAATATATGTCATGCTACGGGAAGTCAAAAGAAAGCTGGAGTAGCTATACTTATATCAGACAAACTGGACTTTAAATTAAAACAATAACAAGGGTTGAAGAAGGGCATTATATAATAATTACAGGGTCTATCCATCAGGAAGAGCTAACAATTATAAATGTCTAAGAACCGAATATGGAAGCACCTAAATATTTAAAACAGTTAAACACAAACAGAAACAATCTTATAGATAAGAATGGGCAAATAGTAGGGGATTTAATACTCCACTTACAGCAATGGATAGATCAACCAGACAGAAAAGCAGTAAAGAAACAATAGACTTTAATGACACATTGGACCAGATGGATCTGACAGATATATTCAGAACTCTACATCCTGAGCCCAGGGAATTCACTTTCTTCTCAAGTGCACATGGCACATTCTCCAAGATAGATCACATACTGGGACATAAAGCAGCCCTCAATAAATATAAAAGAATTGAGATCATACCATGCACACTTTCAGATGATAATGCTTTGAAACTTGAAATCAATAACAGAAAGAAGTCTGGAAAACTTCCAAAAACATGGAGGTTAAAGAACACCCTACTAAAGAATGAATGGGCCAATCAGACAATTAGAGAAAAAATTTAAAAATATATGGAAACAAATGAAAATGAAAATACAACAGTCCAAACTCTATGGGATGTGGCAAAGGCAGTCCAAAGAGGAAAGTACATTACACTCCAGGCCTATTTCAATAAACTAGAAAAAGCGCATGTGCAAAATCTAACAGCTTGCCTAAA